AGGCTCTTTTCGTTGGAAGTGTAAGGGTTTTCACACTACACCAAATGTAATCTTTACCGGGCGGTAAAGAAAACTACTGACATAGAAAAATCCTGAGGTAACCGGAAGAGAGCTAAAAACCTGAAAAAATATGCACCTTGGTCCTAGATGTGGGGGCGTCATGATGAGTATTTTTTTGTATCTGACGCACCGATATTGGTTACTGTACTAACAATAAAGGCTGAAAATAATCAACAACCCACCTGTAACAATGCCTGAAATTTGGGTCATGATTATGAAGACAATATTTTGTTGTCTGAAAACTTCAATAACTTTTGCAATTCTGCTCCAAATAACTCGATTGTTGGTTCATTCAAAAGCTGAACCACTCTCCTTTACACTTCATAAAGGTGTTAAGGTGCTATCTAGCCATATAAACGCTCTACATATGTTCAAACAGTTCTGCATGAATAGCTCTGTAGGATCTTTTTAAGACCAGCTACAGATGTGATGTCTCAATGAAAAATGTAAAGGAAAGGCTCACCTTTTCAATGCACTTTAAATCGAGTGATTTGATTCAGAACTGCAAAAGCTATTGATGTTTGAAGATTCCAAAATCCTGTCTTCAAAATCAAGGGCCAAATTTCAGGTATTGTTACAGGTGGGTTTTTGATGATTCTCAGCCTTTATTGTTAGTACATTAACCAATATCCGTGTGTAAAACACAAAAAAATACTCATCATGACGCCCCAACATCTAGGAACAAGGTGCATATTTTTTCAGATTTTTAGCTCTCTTCCTGTTGCCTCAGGACTTTTCTATGTCAGTAGTTTTCTTTACCGCCCGGTAAAGATTACATTTGGTGTAGTGTCAACGGGTCTGCAGTGGTCAGTTTCAAAGGTGTGGGTTTGACAAATCGGCTGCTCTTTGCTGCTGATTCCGGAGCTGTAGCTGGAATTGGTACGTCTTCGGGTCTATTATCCTTAGCTAACTGGTCCGTCACTACAATTTCAAAGGATCAAACGTGTAAGTTTTCGAACGACTACTCGATTCAGTAGTAATAAACGATTTCGCTTACTTTCAGCTTCTTTGTAATCGATCAAATCTGCGTCTTCGGGGTTGTAAGGAGCTACTTGTTCGACTAGGTCTATTTCCACTATTCCGGAAAAAATAAGACAAATGGATCAGAAGGTATGTCCACTCTTCGTATTGTGACAGAAGCACTCTGGACTGACTTGTTAATGATCTATTCGTTAACTTCGTTGGGTAGAATAACGATATCCGAATCGAACATAATTGGATTATCCCTGGATACTGATAGACGATGCGCTAGTAAGATGAAAGGGTGAAGTGGTCTGAGGTTGTGTACACCGAAGTTACAATCGTATACTTCTCCTGTGAACGGATTCTCTAATGTGAACGAGAAAAATGGTAGCTCTTGAAGTAGTTCAAGAGCGTTGACCGAGTAAACGTTTGATGAAATTGTAAGAAGAAAAAAGAATTTGTTTTTTGTTTTTTATCGGTCCTAAGTTGTCTGATGATTCGAAATTGAGATTTGGATAAGAAGAGATTAAAACTCGAGGTCTTGTTGCTTTTATTTGATTTTCTTACAAGAAGAAAAAAAATATAAAAGAACTTGGCTTCAAAAAAAAAATTAAAAAAGCCGATGAGGCCCCCAAATGTCAGACTGAGTATAACTTGAGTAGTAAAACTAGTCTAAATGAGACTTACTAAATGTAGGTTTCTAAAAATATTTGTTGATACTTATCTTAGAGACGTGGTTTTCGATTCTTAGTAAGTTAAAGATAATCTATAGTTGTTGACTACAGATGTCTGTGGTGCGGGATGATTACCGCTGCCAGGTACTGGACGAGATGTTGAACTTCTCGAGCGTCTTCCAAAGAAATAGTTAAAAGTAACTATCTACTCTTCAGGTGGCACTTCAGTGCTCGTTGATTTGTTAAATCAAAAAGGGGTGATTCCGGATGAAAGTCTTTAGTCGAATGGGCCACGCCAAACGATCTCTAACGCTTTCTAAGTTGGAAGTTTTAGTAAAAAAGAAGATAGAAAAAGATGGTTGCTTTTGAGCAGAATGAAGCGTGCAATAGAAATTCGATAGTAAAAGGACTTTCTAATAACGAGTATCAATTCAAAAGTAAAGAGGTTTTTCTAAGATGGGTAAAAAGTGATAAAAGATTATTCTTCTTTATTTGGTGAGAATCGTGGTTCTTTATATACCAACTTTGGTTAACATTGTATGATGTCATGTAAGAAACCCTTATCTCCTGAGGTTGGCCTGGTTCGGGGTTTCGTAGTTTTAGTAACTATATAAACCCTTTCTCGTAGTCTTTTGGCCTGGTCAGGGTCTTTCATTATTTAGTCCCTGGCCTGTGTTAAGGATAAAATTTCTCTCTCGTTGTCTACCCTTCTTCTACCAAGGGTTAATTAAGTTGTACCCTTGGTTATAGAGTTGGTGACTCGAGTTTTATTCTTTTTACACTCTTGAAACTCGAGTGATAGAGTTGTAATATTTCTTTTTTATGTATTAAGTTTTAATTATGTACTTACTTACTTTGTTAACCTTGGAGGTTTTGCTCTGCAAAACCTCTCTGGTTGACAGGAAAGATGGCATCGTCTAGAATTGCGTGCTCGTCTTTCCTCCCTGGAAAACATGTTGTATGAATAGATTTGTTTAGTAAGTGCTTTTGAGTTTGATATGCAAAATCTCCTTCTGCAGTCTATCACGCAGAAATCGATACGTGTCAAACTTTTCCAAGGGCAAGAGCCCCAACTCTTGGAATTGAATTCTGAAATCTTTGAATTGAACCACACGTTTGGTCTCTTGAGTGGAGACGGAAAAAAAGTTGTGATTATGTGTGTTATCAATCTACCCTCTGACTGAAACTTGGACACCCATAGGCCATCGCACCCGTAAATCAGATGGCATTGGAGATAAGAGATAAGCAGAGTATCTCGTGTTTCGTGAATTGTCAGAGTCAGACTACCTCACATCACGGTGCCTCGCATTTCCAAGTGCTACTGTGGACTGTCTTGTAGGGTATGTCGTATTTAATGCTCAGGGCACTGTTTACTTGCGAGGTGAATTCATTTCTTCGAAAAGGTAGACCAGCAACAGCATAAGACACAAGTAGCCTTATTTGGCATTGCATCTCGTTTCTTAAACTCCAATGCCAGCGCTTTAATATGCGATTTCTTGTGTTTTGGCTTGCTCGTCAACATGACAATGGTTATTTTTGACAATCTCCCGGCCAAATAATACTCAGCTTGACGAACTGGGACATCAGGGTGGAGTTTTTCATAAGTGTGACCGAGACAGCCTTTTGTCTAAGCTAGCTCGTAGCCTCGAAAAAGCGACTCTAGACATCCTAAATAAAATAATGGCGTGTAGGCTAAAACTGAACTTTGAGCGATTCTTCAAGAAGAGTAACAATTTCGTCATATAGATGCAACAATAAGAAGAGAAGCGGATGCCGGGAAAGACAAAAAGAATGGTTGCCACTAAATACTTGCTTGTCGACTACCATACCGTATAGCAGGAGTACTATGAGTTATTCGTCTTTCGCTGACAACACAAGTAAGTGGAGGCACAAAACCATGGTGGGATTGGGATCAAGGGCAGTAAGACAAAATATGAATAATTCTTTGTTTCGATGAACCGAGCCCGATAGTGACACTGGTAAGAACAGTGAATTTGATGCACGCCAGAAGCCTAGAATGTATTGGTACGATGTGTGGTTTGGTCGCAAAACCACCGCCAGGCGTAAAGGTCTCCATGTAATTCATAGCCATGGACGTGTTGAGAGGCGAAACCAGCGATTCGATTTGAAGTAACCACAGTTTAGAGACTGATGGCCATCTGCTACTTTTTTCAATCTTGAGCGTTGTATAGCGCCTATCAAGGCTTCCTGGTCTGGTTTACTCGATTCCGCTTCATCCAGCGAAAAGACACTTTGAACTGGTCTTGTCACTTCATCATTTTGCTCCTCTGCATGCCACGCCGGGACCATGAGCTCAGCTTCTGAGGCTCATCACATACCCGAGCGAATGTATAAATCTTGATCATCCGCTTTCTCGTCTCTGCTTCCCTTTCAACTCACTCCAAGGCTTCCAAGTTCATCGCAAAGTTTGAAAGTGTTTGTTTTTCGTTTCGTACCCTTTTTTCGGTTTAATTAGTATTATTATTATTGTTTCTTGTCATTGTTTATCAAAAGCGAGCCTGGTGCTTTCTTTACAACACATTTAATTCTTCGTTTCCTGTGATATTTACCTTATCTATATTTCACTGTTAATTTTTTTGCGAAGCACATTCACTTATCAGTTGAGCCTTAACGATCTTCTCGACTTCAAACTACAACACTATCAGACAAAATGCTTTCAATCTCTTCCGTTGCTTCCCTCGCCGTCGTCATCTCCATTACTTTGACTTCCGTTAATGGACATCTTACCCTTGTTAGTATGCAAGGTGCCAATGGTGTCAATGGTATAGGTTTTGGGGTAGACCCAACCACTCGACGGGATGGTACAGCGTGAGTCAAACATGAATCAATTTCTCGATTTGTGATTATATTATTAACATTCTTCATCTATTTCTCTCAGTCGAGATCCATTTCAGCTTGACAGTGCAGTCATTCGAGAAGAAGACATTCAAAAAGGTATTGCTACGGTTTGTGGGCGAACACTTATTGGAGGACCAATCCCAATGCCTGAATCTTTTCAAAAGGGTATGCACAGTCCTATAAAATCCCTTATGAAGACATACGCTGACCCCATTCCTTTCTCTATCACAGCTGAACAAGCCGGATTACCTAGTGTTGGACCAGACGGAGTGATTCGTCTCACAGGTCATCAAATCAACGCTGATGGTCAGCTCATTTCAACATCCTGCACAATTCTTTTTCAATGCTGACCAAGTTGCATCGTTCTATCACAGGTGGTGGGCCATACAGTTGCGCTGTAGACTACGGTGCCACTGGTATGAATTTTGAACCGATCCCAATGACTGTGAATCTTCCTGGTCGGAATGGTCGTTCAGACGCCAGAGCCATCGATCTTCCTATCGAAGCTACTCTTCCTTCTGGAAAGTCTTGCACAGGTGGACAGGACGGACAGTCATGCATTGTTCGATGCCTCAATGTATGTTGCCCATTTGTTCTTTCTCATCATGCCTCACATTGCGGTCACTGAATTTGCTTCTTTTTTTCGCTGCGCTGTTCTAGGGAGCCAAAGCCGGTCCATTCGGCGGTTGTGTGGCTTTCACTCAAGGTGGGGGTGGCCAAGGTGGAAATAACGGAAGCCAGGGAGGAAATAACGGAAATCGAAACAACAACAACAGCAGCAGCAACAGCAACAGCAACAGCAACAGCAACAACAACAACAACAACAACAACAACAACAACAGCAACAACAACAACAACAACAACAACAACAATAACAACAACAACAACAACAGAAAGTAAACTGACCATCATTCTGTTAGCCACCTATTGAAGTTATTTGTTACATTCCAACATTTGTCCATGCATATAAAAACAGATGTTTTTAAATTAAATTCCTTTCCTAATGTCCTATAAAAAATGAAACAAGCCTTATGGCAAGCATCTTTATATCCTCGTGCTTATTCAAGGCCATTCATGTTGAGACCTCATTGTCGCGCACAGTTCCTTTCCTTGTGCCAAATACGTTCACGCGAACATGTTCGCAACAATGTCATCATCCGACCTTGCAAATAAAAAAACTTTCAGAGTGTTTTCCCAAAAAGCCGCAGATATGCCTTACGTGAGATCCGCGGTGCAAGTAAAAAAGCAACGGTCTTAATACCATGATGAGCATACGGTGCGAGATTTTCAGGCAAAGTATTTGTTGATTCACAAGCTCCTCCCTCACAAGCCGTCGGAAGAGCATGACCCGGTTGGCCCGGTGGCGTAACATATTTCAGATAAATCCAGTCTTGAGTGTCTTTTGTGTTGATATTTCAGTGCATTATTCACTGTGGCACTACAAGCTGAGAAGAGTGGTTTTCACAAGATTAACGAGCAAAACTCAGACCATCTGTCCATAAATAGTATGCGTCTCTTTTTCTTGAAGCGTTTGACTTTTCGACCAAATTCGCAGTATAACTCGTCTTCTCAACACATTCCTATCCAAGCTATATAATTCCTCAAAACTCAATACATACAAAACTCTCACAAAATAATTGCACACAATCCAATTCCAAAACCAAAAATACCTAAAAAAAAGAAAATCAATTTCTTTTTTTTTCAAACTTTTTGAAATGCAACATATATAAGTAAACCAAAAAAGTACAACAAATTTTAAAACGAAAACAAATGTTAAGAAACGAGAAAGAAAGAAAAAAAAGAAACACACTGATGATTTTAAAGAAAAAATGATCAACAAATTCAATTTGACTTCAATACTTAATTTTCTTCATCTTTAATGTTTATAACAATAATACAATCCTAACAAAATCCATCATCAAATTATGTAACATGATAATAGATCCTTCTTCACCTTGAAACACATCAAAAACTCTTCCAGCAGCAATTTCAGTAGCTATAAAACAAAACAAAACCTTCATCAGTCAATCTCTTATTCCAATTCAATGATCATCTTATGTATCAAAAAACAAATCTTCAACAAACCATTCGATCCTAATCCAATCTTCAACCCATTCCAACACTCAACAAACAACTTCCTAGCCAAAAGTTTCCTACGCTCTCTAGCCTCAAAAGAAACATCAACCTCTTCGACTTTTGTCTTTTCCTCTTTCTTTTCTTTAGATCCAATCCATTCATTAATAATCTTAGGTTCTTGAATTTGATTTAAGAATCCTTCTAGACTACCTTTCAATACACTACTCCATTTCTTCGTTCTCAAAATCGTTTCCAAAACTCGTAACATCCCTCGTTTCATCGACCAATCTTGTTTTTCATTTAATCCATAGGCTGCTTCTAATACACTCATCAAGGCTATTAAAATCGCTTCTAAATCTGATTCATCTATTTTAATGTCTTCTTTTTTGATCTCTTCTTTCTTAATCGCTTCTTTTTTAATGGCTTCTTCCTTTTTACTCGATTCTTCTTCAATCATAGTTTCTTTTACTAGACTCTTGGTTTCCTTTTCTTCTTGATGTTGAACTTTTTCCGCTTTGGTGGAATCCGCTTTGATGGTGGAAGGTGGTCCAGGAATGGTAGGTTTGCCAGGTGGAGTAGCACAAGCTTTTGGTTCTGCTTCTTTCTCTTCAAACTCATATCCTTTACCCATGGTAGGTGTCACTGCCTCAGGAACAGTATGTGATGATTGAACAGGAGTAGGCTCACTATCCGAGATCAAGTGAGGTGAGTCTGGATTTGGGTACAATACAGTAAGTTGAACTTGTTGTTGTGATTGTTCAGGAATAGAAGGAGGTGAATCTAAAGACGAGTTAGAAGTCGAAGCAGAAGAACTAGTAGCAGAAATAGAAAACCGTTTGAGTCTGTCTTGAAAATTCACTCTATTCGATGGTGGTGGTGGTGGTGGCGGTTGTTGTTGGGGCTCAACATGATTAACTTTCATAAGACCTTCATCATCCGTTGGTAAAGTATCCTTCTGATGAGTCATTCCAAATGGTAAACCAGCCAATACTCCTTTTGAAAGTTGACTTAATCCTTGACCCGCCATATTAACAGGTTTAGTCACACTAACCACTCCTTTACCAATCGTATCCCAAGTAGATTGAAGACTACCTAATCCCAATGGATTAATTAAACCTCCTTTATTAGTAGAACCTGATCTTTCTTTTGCAAAGAAATTCAATACTGGTAATGATTCGGCATACCTTTCATGATTTAAAAGATGTGCTAGATATCCTTCAATTTCTCTTACAAGATGATCACTTGTTTTAAAATTCAAATTTGTCGGTAATAATGCTCTGGGAAATGATTTGGTGCCTAATCCTATCAATCTTAATTTACCGATTCCTACATCCATCTTTTCTAATTCGGTCCATTTTCTTGTCACTATGAATCCAGGTACGCCTGAAACTTCAACAGCAATCATAAATTCGAGGTCCCGTTTAGTTTTAATCAATCCCTTCGGATCAAACGCGGTAGGACATGATATATCAGTCACAGAGACGCTGAAAGTGGATAGTGGAGCCGTTTGAGACTCGGTAGAGGCTCTTTCGTGGGATTGAGATGAAAGCCTATTTGACTGAGGCGTGATATGAGCATCTGATGAATACGATCGTGTTGCTTGCGATAGAATATGCGAGTTTTTTAGTGAGTGATGAGGAGAAGGTTGATGATCTTTTTCTGCTATATCATTTGCATCGTCAAATGAAAAGCCATCAGCCATATCGCCTTCCTCTGGGACATCTTTGAACGAACTGTGATTGCGAAGTGGCGACATCGGGGGTTGAGAAGGTATTCGACCATGTTGAAGGTTAGAGGGAGGAGATTCACTAAAATTTGCTGGTGGGGTAGAAGGAGACGGCGAAGACTGGTGACGGCCGTTGGTGGTTTCAGAATGGATGGGACGGCTAAACGAGATGTCTTCTGACCGGTTAGGAAGAGTTTGAGACCTAGGCGGAGAAGTTGAATTGGAGGAATTGACCATAGAAGGCACATGTGGGATGGTCATATACGAGATGCGTTCTTCACGAGTCTCCTGGCCTGTTGGTCCGTTACGGGAAAGGTTATGGGGCTTGGGTACCGGATCTTTCATGTTATTGACCGATAGATGTTGCGAGTCAGGTTCATCAGTCTCAATCCGTTGTATTCGGTCGAGAACCCAGTCTTGCATATTCTGGAATATCAAGGCACCATTGATATTAGCGTCTTCAAGTCTTCTAAGAGTTTCTACCACGACGAATTGCCAGGTGTTGAGTAAAGTGTGACGCGTGGCTTGATCCTCCTCTTGATCGATGAGTGCATTGATGGCCTGGTCAAGAGGGGCAATCAACGAGCTTAGAAGAGAGATTGCATCACTCTTGATCAATTGGGTTTCCAGTTCAGTGATTTGACTGATTCTTCGGAATGAGTCAAGGTGTGTCCAGATCTTGACCAAGCTTTGAACATTGGGGTTTTGTGAATTGGTAAACGGTTCAGCTGTGGGCGCGTGATGTGAAGACTGCTGAAGCCTTAGCAAAGAAGCGGTTGTGGGTGAATTCATTGACAATTGCTTCGGAGACCATATCGGTGTGATTTGAAATAGTAGTGGGATGGGATCAGGAAGACGGGCAGAGGCATTGGAGAGTAAGTCCGGAGTTGATTTCAAGTAAAGGTTTAAGAGGTTCTGCCCAGTGATCGATAAGCTATCTTCTGGCTCAACTGAAGGAACAGAGTTTTCCACTGGAGAGGACAGTGGTGAAGACCGAGTATTTGAAGATGCACTTGTGAAATGCACATTTTCAGTAGGATTTGACGAGATCGAAGAGCGTGAAGATTCCACCTCAGAGGACGATTCGGCGGGGATCAGTGTAGGAGTTACAGGACCCAAGTAGGTGATAATGGTTCGATTGAACCAGTCGTCATCTAGTGAGTTGACACCCGAGATGAGTTGAACGGTCAAAACTTCTGATAGCAAGCTGAGGATGATCGGAGACACAGTGATAGGAAGCGGTCCAAGAGTAAGTAGGATTTCTTCCGAGATTCGACGAACTTGAAGTGTTCTCTGAGACTTGCGAGCTTGTTTGGATTCCCAAGAAGAGTTGGATGAAGGTGGATCATGAATGTGACGAACAAGATTCATGGCAAGACAACCGACGAGATAGACTAATGTCTCTTTGCTTGACTTTGATGAGATCTTTAGATACGTATTGACTAAGATATGTTGAAATGATGATCGAAGATGATTAAGAAAGGTATGATCACCAGTGGATATAGTTGGTTTGAGATACCAAGATTCAATAAAATCATGCATAACATTATCAATCAGAGGCATAAAGGCAGTCACGATTTCGGGAGGTATTTGAGAAAGATCAGGAGAGGCGACGGGTAGAGTAAGACATTTGTTGCTAGACTGATGAACTGAAGATGAATGACCGGCTTCAATTGAGTCATGGAGATTAGCAATGGATTGAAAAGTAGCTCGAAGACGATCTTGAGATGGAGGTGAACGGCCAAGAGTGCTATCGACGATTGAACGGAATTCAGGTAAAGCAGAGAAAAGGCTAGGAAGAAGAGAAAAGAAGAGATCAGGTCAGTAAAGAGTGTAAAAGATGCTCAATTGGAATTCATCAGAAAGCAATAATCCACTTACAATGAAACTGCAATCAAAAGAAAGGCAGAAAGCGGGCCCAGCCTGATGAGAAGCAGTAATAAAGCCAATCCACCGAAAATAATGAAGAATTGATCAGATTGATGTTGAGTTGACGTTTGGAGGGTACTTTTATCGATTTTTGATTCGTCTTTATCCATTTTCGTTACTTCTTTATCCATCTTTGTTACTTTTTCTTGATTGATTGAATAGTTGATTTGATTTGATTTGATTCTTGAATGATGAAGTTGAGTTCAGTTTGATGAATTAGAACAACAAGAATTTATCTGAATGGTCATTCTGTTTCTAATCGTATTTTCTAGTTTGAGTTCTGATAGTTCTGATTCTGATTCTGATTAGGTTCCAGTCTCGTCTGTTCCTATATGCTTTAATCGAATTGAATGGTTTCCTTGATATCGAAATTGGAAATTCTCTTGAATTGGTTTCCTTGAATACAACCATACCAACTCAAAATTAGAGTGTGAAGAACAATTCTATTCGAGTTAAACTTATGCTGAGCTTGGCGTGATTTGGTTTTTGTCTCACCACCATAACACACTCCATCTTAATCACTCAATTCCACTTGAGTCAAATGACCTCACGGTGATCAACACATTTCCTACCCAATCATGAAAAAGTTGTCCAACAAAGGAAAATGGCCTCAGTAGACGGTGAAGAAGATACACAAAATACTTGATGGATTAATCCAAAACCCAGCAGATAAATAAGTGTCTTTCACAACACTTTGATGTAACAGTATGATCAATGAGGCTGGTGAAACTTTCATGGTCTGCACTGGCAAAAGGAGGCCTCGGATTCAAAATGCAAGGTATCTAAATGGCAATATATGGAGCAAGGTCCTCATACAATTACTCTGAGAATTTGTGTAGACCCAAAAAAGCTTTGAACCAAGCTCATGTAGATGAAACCCAAGGGATTCTATCAAAAGGTAATGTAATGTTTCAAATCCAAGGCATCCCGCTTGGTGATGACCACCCCTGAAGCTGTAACTCCTCACTTCCAATAATATGGGTCACATTCAAGGCCAGGAATATACCAGGTGAAAAACTAGTCCAATGAAACAACAGACAAAACATCATTGTTACAAAGAGAAATGCTGGCAAAGGTATCTGTAGAGAATTCTTAATCAGTTTCAATTCTAGACCTGGAATGGCTTGAACACTGGTGCTTGATGACACCTCAGGTGCACACATCCAAGTGTTTAGCTGTGCTTTATCATATCAAACTCAAGAGCTCAAGTTGTAGATTCTTGATAGATGATCTGCTTGACTTTTACCACCAACACTTTGTTTTACATCATGAATGTGTGGACAATGTGCATCAAGTTACACCTTTCTGACACCTGAAGGATCTTTGTATTCACAGAGCAACATGAGAGGGATCCTTGATTTTTTGGTATAGATTCTCAGAAGAAGAAATGATAAACGACCATGTTGCAGATGTATTTGGATCTGCCTTGAAAAATGATGTACAGCTCTCCAGTGTTGCTTCAGATTGTAAACAATCATGGATGTTGGGTAATAGATTCCTCAATCAATCTTTGCACAAATCAGAAGTTGGAATAAACTGTTTGTTACTCACATCACAACCATCCCATTCTATCCAAGCCAACCAAAGTCCCCAAGCCATATGCTGGGTAACATGTGTATATGAGCAAGGAGGGTAACTCAGTACATTTCTTATCAGGATGCTTGGTTTTGGATTATTGGGAAACATTGAGACCGGTGGTCTGGCCATCCACACTGCTTCTTCTAGAGCTGAAACTTTTGAAGCCTCTCAGTGATCTTTCAAGAACATCTGCCCATTGATTATAGTCAGCATATCTTTTTCTGACTGGCTAAAGATATTTGGGTGAAGAAGAATGATGATATCAAGAAGTGTTAGAGTTGTGTATCATTCTGTTGCAATCACAACACCCTTGAGGGTTTCTCTGAAATCATCACTTGAGGGTGTGGAACTGGAAGGTAACTGATCAAATTCTTGCTGCATATTTTTTGGAAGTCTAACAAATCATCCTTTGGAGATTGATCAACAGGTTCCATTGTTGGTATGATATTATTACCAACTTATCTGGCTTGATCTAGGACCCAGACCGTCTGTCTATTTGGAGGAGGGTTGAGCTGGTCTAATCTGCTATACTGAGGCGGAAGGACTGCTGCCATTGATGCTGAATTTTGTGGATGTTTTTTGAATTATTGATCAATCAGTGTAAAGAACTGAAATTTACTTGCCATAAATGAATCTCATGGAGGTAAGTAGAGGTCTGATGCCACATGGTGGACTTGATGATTCTGGAACCAAAGTGTGTATGGTTCAATACTTACTAAAATCTGGCTCCAAAGGAATAGAATACAAGATCAGTCTTAAGGTTCCTCTAACAGAACTATAAAAATGTAATCATGAAGTCAAATGCAGTACTGGACCTGAATGCTACTGACCACTGTTTTTTATTGCACCTTAGGTATGTTATAAGCTAGACATGTTGGCATTGCTTGCCTATATTTCATCCAAGATTCCAAAGCTCTAAATACTATGTGTTTGAATTTATTTTACCAGGCTTTTAGCACCTGCAGTTAATTTTTACAATCTCACAAAACCAACACTGCATCTTGGTACCTGGAACATAGAGGTGTCATTCCAACTGATACCCTTCACGACAAGATTCTCTGAATACACACTCTATGATCAGATAATTCTGAATGTAATCCTTGTGATTTGGACATATACATTATGGGGGAAGTTATTTTGAAGACAAAAAAACTGACATTTTTGGCTTCAAATTGTAAGTAATAATTGGTGTTGGGTCTCAATTCCTTGATCAATCTCTATAGATATTAATGACAGGCTCAAATGCACTCTGTCCTCCCTGAAAATACAACCATTCCATTGTGTCAAAGCTGACAGAAGTCTTTGAATCACACATTTTTCTCTCCTTGGATACATTGATACTATTGCTGATCTTAGATGATTGAGGACTTTTGAGGGCTGTGGTTCACAAATCTACAAAGCTTCTGGGTTGTAGCCCTACAATCCTCTGGATACTGTTTTAATAAGTGTCACTCATTGAGAGTCAGTATATTTTTATCTGAAAGGCCCTGGCTAGGAATGGTTTGTAAAACAATGATCATTCCAACACATCATATGGTAGATAGACATTTTCCTATTACATTGCTAAAACCATCAATGTTTTAGATCACTTTATGGTGTGATATGTGTTTGATTGATGCCCTGCTACATTTTTTAAAAAAGGTTAAGAAACCACTCTCTTCATGAACCATTACTTTGCATTGATTTTACAATGATTTATTCAAGATTTTTGATTTGAATGACCACCCTAGAATTTTTGATGAGCTCAAGCGGATCTTATCTAATGTACCAAACCTGTGTAGACGATTCCATTGATGCTATTTTTTTGTAGACTTGCCCATTCTTTGATCAGATTTATGGGACCCCAGTAGCATTACTCTTAATGGCTTACAGTTCCTACTAGTGATAAACTCACCTTCCTTTTTGATACCTGAAAGAATCCTCTGTGAGAAATTCTTAAAATCAAGTTCAAGAGGAATTGTTTTCTTATCCTTGGAGTATGTTTTGTCCCACTTATCACAGAGTTTCCATAAAAATGTCATGGAGATCGCACCCCATATATAGTTTGATGTTAATATATAGCTTAACATAAAGACAGGATCAAGTCTTTGTTTTTTCTTTGAAATAGATTTCAACTTCTTATTGATTGCTCCTTTCAAATCTATATCTTGCCATGCTTCAAATATACTTGAAATAAACTTCCATCCTGAGTCATATATGCTTTTGAGATCTTCAGATTTCCTATGGTAAGCAAATTTCAAGCAGGCAAGGAAGGCTGGTGTCACTATACTGTTTGCTTGTACTTCAATGGCATCTGAGATTTGAGCTTGTATTTTGTCTTTTTGATCATAAGGAATAGAAAGAGATTGTATTTTGGGTCCAATTTGCTTGTTTAATTTGTGAAGCCAAGGTGTAATTTGTTTACTAAGAGATCCATGACTCTGAACAATCAATTCACCCACTCTTGGGAGTATGTACATTGCAGATTGATAGCAAGCACCCAATCTGTACTCTTTTGGAACCTCTTCAAAACCTGATTGTTGGTCTGATTTCTGTGTACCATAATCTTGTTCTTCAACCTCAGCTGCTGTGTCCAATGGTTTTATCATCAATGTGGAGCTTTCTGTGTCTGAAATTCTATCAGAAGGTTTGGATGGAGGACCTATTGACAAAAGAGTATCAAGATTTGAAAAATGTTCTTCTTGATGGAATTCTGGCAAAAGTTGAAGTGGTCTTTTCTCTTCATTGTAAGTTTTGGGATGATGAAAAGTATTGGGTGAAACCTCCTGAAATGTCTTTTCAACAGATTCATTGGATTTAGTTGGAAAAAACTCAAATTGTTGAACAGAAGCAGGTTTATTGATTCTGCCATGTTGAGAAAAGTTGTTGTCACCCAACCATTCTGGAGTTTGTGGATGCCCAGTCACAGTCACCTTCTGTTTCTTGTGGGAGATAACATCCAACTTTTGATCTGATTGCACAAAACTGAGTGTTGGATCATCAATACTGGTGATTTCCCCCATTTTATCCTGAACAAGATGATCTGAGTCTGAGTGAATCAATTGATCAACATGTGCCCTTGATGTATATGGTGTATCTCTTAGATGACTATGCGCCCCCACTTTTGAGTTGGCATCAATAGAGTACAGCAGACCATCTAAAGGTGAGCAATAAGTTCTCAATATTGATGAACAAAAACAGTTGATCATGAAAAACTGATATAAAGTCATGTTGGGTGAGTCTGAATGAAATCAGAAGGGATCTTGAATCAGGGAGATTCTTTTTACACTAGTGTTCTGCCACAAGCTTTATAACTCCAAAGAATAGTTCAATGTTCCTGTGGTTTATATAAAAATATACTGGTGAGGCAATTATGCTCAATTCAGATTATACTTGATTGGTACAAGAGAGCTTTCAAAACAACACTGAGCATTTCAAACATGATTTGGAAACTAGATTCAAGCCATCCCACATTAATAAGTGTGGATAAGAAGTATAGATACAATATTTTGAGGTGGGTAAGAGGATTGAGTTAAGCTTATCCATGAAGTTTAGTGTGTGAACTGGAGAAGATTATTTGAGGGGTTTTCAACTTTCCATTTCTCCTCAGCCTACCAGTAGATGTGCTTGTGAACCGAAAAATGCCTTTTTCTACTGCTTTGACTACAAGATCTGGTCTTTCCGGCTCCATTCAATTGCTCCAGGAAAGCATCAAAAATGCAATCAAAAGTTGCCTGTTTTGAAACACCCCAGCCTGTCTGCTGCAACAAGTTGGGAGGCTTTGTCAGAAATCATAATGTTTTTGAAAACTTCAAGCCCTTGGGGGTCTGAAACAATAATGGTAGATTGTGTCATTGGATGTAGCATACCCTGGATATGAAATTAATCTGTGGGTCCAAATGATATCTGTTCACAGGCTAAGGAATCATGGAGGGTCAAAACACTCTCTGGCCAAAGGTTTCCAGCTCACTGAGCTGGAAAGCTTGACATATTGAAGTTTGTGGGTATGGCATAAGCTCACTTGCAAGCCCCTTTGTCAAGATGAACTTGTTGAGTTGAGTGGATCATGAAGCAATATATCAAGAAAAGATATCAATCCTGAGCATAAGTCACAATTTGTTTGAATTGGAATTGTGCATGTGTACATAATCCTTATAGACAATTAATTTCAGTTTACTATCTCGCAGATAAAGTCAATTTGAAAAATATCCATAAACCATATCCTACTCCTTATCTGCAACTTTCAAAGACAGTCATTGGGCAATAGTTGAATAAAGAACAGATATACTTTGAGTTATGTAGTGTTACCAAAAAGATGTGTGGACCACCACATGATCATGTACGCCAAAATAATTGTTTAGTTCCTAGTGCGCTGTTATCATGCATGTACAATACATTTACTGCAGTCATCAACCTTCATAAGAGGAGTGAAACTAGTGAAGGCTAAATCATTTCAGTCTAATACAAAAGGTATAATTAAATTCCTCTCACTACATAGTATTGCAAACTACAAACCACTACTATCTGTATTCTCAATTAATCTCCATCTTATAGATAATAAGAACCTACATAAAAATATTCTAATACATCACACAAAGCTTTTCCAAGAGAAGATGGTCCATATAGCTTGAAGTTGAAAATACATTTAAAATGATTAAAGTACAACTGATGCAATGATCCAAACGAGTTGAGAAAAAAAAAATCAAAAGTGAAATTCAATGTTACATAAAATCTCCACTTTGGTTTTCAATTGATCGTATTGCTTGCACCGTTTGACTTGCTAGGAATAACTGGTTTTGAGGTTTTCATGTATTATTCATTCAACCACAAAAGCAGGTTGGATTTCATGTGAGATTTCTTGCTTCTTATTTGACTTTCCATCTTCTTCTTCTGGGCTTGAGGTAGCGGCTCCCATTCCTACTCGAGTTACGTGATTCACAGGAGAAGTGGCAAGGAATGTATTGCCGACGGTTGAGCCGATGTTTTGTACGGAATGTCCAAGGCGAGTAAGCAAATTAGGTGCGATCCCTGGCTTAGGTAATTCTGATACCTTATCCACAATGCCTGATCCCAAGATCTTAGTGCTGAAAGTTGGGGAAAAGCGGATGTTCAGTGAGATGATGACAAAGAAATGAGGGCAAAGAGGAAGCAAAAGGGTATCGTTTACCTTTCAGTAATTCCTGTCTGCAGCTTTGAGCCTGCTTCGGAAATAACACTGAGAGACAGGGAACCAGGCGAGGATTTCTGAGTGGCATCCTTAGAGATGGAATCTGGAGAGACGGGGGCTAGTCGTTCGCTAAGCTGTTTGCCGAAACGCATGGACCATCTGTCAAGGGTGGAAGCGAATCGGCCCGAGTAATTTGAGAAAGTACCCGTGGCGTGTTCAAGTGCATCGGCACCTTTGAGGACATTTGATTCATCTTTGGCAGGGTCATGTTGAGTCTCAGTAGGTTCCTTCCCCGGTGAACGAGGACTTCCAATGGCAGAAACCCAACGATTGACTAGTAACTTGGAACGTTCGATCAATGCTCGACTCATTTCGTCGGCGGTGACCAGTAAACTTTGATCTTGTAAGATATTCATATCGACTAAGACTTGTTCAAAGTTATTCCGCAAGGCGATCAATTCAGGTGGCGGTTCAAGGTCATCACTTTCGGACGGACGAGAAGGCGTCAGTCCAGGTTCATTGATCAGAGGAAACGCGTCGATCGGTCTAGAGGGTAGAACGAGTTTGATGTATCCTGATGGTAGACCGGGGATATCAGGCTTGAAGAGATAACTGAATGAACAAGCAGCCGTAGTACCGAAAGGAGTATCTGTTTATGTGGAGCAAGCATGGGTTAGTATTTGCACAATTCTGGCTTTTGAGCATCAGACTACTTTCATGGAACGAAGCTACTCACGCCTATGTATTGGAAACGTTGCGAGACCGACTTGAAGGATCACCAAAACTTCCTTAATCTCATCTGTATCATTTTCTGTATCAGAGATCCTTCTCCTCGGATCATCGCCTTTTGGTGAAGAGAGTCGAACTGGAACCGGTTTCAATAAACAGAGTGGACCACTAGCAAGTCTTAATTCTTGATCACAAAGTAAATGAAACAATTTGCATTCCACTGGTAGTCGAATCAGTTCATTATCTTGTGACTCTGATAAAGGAACATCGTGAATGGGTTCAAGGTCGAGTGATTGTTGATCGAGTTGAGGTGATGGTTCAAGCATAGCTGCTATTCAAAGGTAAAGTTTGTCGCAAATGTCGAAAATGTTAAATTGGAAAGCAAATCGATAAGGTGACATTCAACATCTTCAGCTCTGTATATATATCCGGTCCGAGACTTCTGATCTTGCCTAATTCAAATTCGGGAAAATTGACCGGATGGACCATCATAACAAATGTTGAAATGATGAGATGATCAGGAATTGGTCTCGAGCTGATCTTGATGTTCACGCTGCTCCTTGACTTTCCTTTTTTATCCCATCCAGAGTCGCTTTTATACTTCATCGAGGATTAGCGCTAAAGAGCGTGCCATTATGACTACCAGCCACTTGATGATTATAAGTGTAGATCACTAGTTCATACTTTTGACGATAGCCGACTGGCGGCAAGGCAGAGCAGTTTGTCCAGATGAATACAGTGTGGCACACGTGTCTCGAAGCCAAAGATACGATGCTACATATGTAGGAGCATGAAGAAGGAAGCCAGTTCCGACCAAGAAGTCAAAGAAGAAGTACAACAGTTCGAGACTGCAGGATTCATTATCATCAACTCAAGCTTTCACAGCTACAACCCTTTGACCCAATATGAGGACACAACAAAAGACTAACAAGGATAAGGAAATTCTAAAGTAGAAACATTGGAAGTAGGAAGCGCCCAACACCTAATCATCTTGAACTCTTGATCAGCTTGATCAACCAAACAATAAATCGAATGTAAACATTCCGTGCATTGTAAGAGATCCGATGCTTTATTCAATTCCTTTGAAAATAGTTCTCTCATATCCAAATCAGCTGGAGAATTCCACGCTGCTCTTTTGATCCTACCCAGAGAAGATTTCCAAATCTCAGCAAGTTGATCAGGATTACATTGTGACCGATGTGAGATCAAAGGTAATCGAAGTCGGTTCAATATCTGACGAGCTTGCTTCCTCCTATAAGAGTGGAGTTCATCCTGGATGTGATCATGTTCTGTTAATTCTCAAGTTATTCGAAGATGGGGAGAAATATTGAAAGTACTCACCAACGCATCATAAGCTTCGATCGACAGGAGGCGCTTGTGCTGCGGCAGATCAATGTCCAATGCCAACGTGAATTCGGACGCCAGCTTAGCCATCCAAGCACATCCGTATATCTCAGCCAGTGCAAAGACATGGATTGGCTTAAGCTTGTAGAAGGCACTATGTAAGGATAACATCAAGTAAAAGAGTGAATCGTCACCATGAGTACCGTTACTACTTATATGGCAGAAAGAATGTTCTCACCCTAATGCCAGAAGACAAAGTCGTTCTACGTGCTCAAGTGCGCTTCGGCTTGCCACGGCCTCCAATGCGCTGACTAGAATTTCAGAAACATAGTGTTTAAGTAAGTTTTGATGGATCAGTCGAATGCAAGAAGATGTCCTCTTATGTACCAAGACAAAACTTACCAAGGTCATCAAATTTATAATGAGAAAGGTCAGGGACAAGACTTGGGTCAAGGCATGCCAATATGATCTCTATGACTTCCTTGGATCCGTCCATCATGATGAGAGGAAGGCCCGCATAAACTTGAATCTTGGCCCGGTCGATGCGGGAGAAAACTTCAGGCTGGAAAGCCAACTTGGTAGAGGATATCGCAAACCGACAGGAAACGATATCGGAAGAGGCGAGGATGAAATCAACGCCTGGCGTAGATAATGGATAGGCCTGGTGGTAGTATGACTCGGCAGCATTGCCGTTTGTAAGAGGAACCCTCGATGCGTGCGAAAGCTGAGATGCGGTCACTAGATCTCGAGCAGAGCTCTCCATCGATGCGTTAGATGTTAAAGATGACATTATGAGGATTTGAAGGATTTTGTTATAGAAATGTGATTTGAGGAGATGTGATTGTAAATTTGTAAATCAACAAATGAGATGAGGTTTGAGTAAGGAAGAAATGTGAACATCAAGGATTGCAAAGACGAAGAGAACTTTATACAAATTATCAAGCTTCACCTAACCGCACAGATTGTTTAGCTGAGAAGTTCCTGATTCTGGTCACGTATCGCCCTGAAAACTAAACTTCCATCAAGTCGCGCCAAGGTTTTCGATCAAGATCCGTAAAATATATAATTAAATGCAATAACTACTGATGATATTGAAACGTTAACTTTGCGCCGATCGTCGAAGAAAAGTGACTGAAGGCTTAAAACAAAGTCCAGTGGCATCGAGGTAGAAAACGGCAGCGTAAGCCTTGCACACCCTCAATGCGAAATTACTACATTACCCACTATGAAGTTTGCATGACTTATAAGTTATTATTTGAAATGATATAAATCAACAGGGAGCCACTGGAGATGAGATTCGCCTAACCTTGGGGATACGATTATGCCCAAACTCGATATCGCCGGATGAGACGTTGGATGACGACCCGTCAGGAAGACAGATATAACAGGTGAAGGCCTGGTTGCGAAGGCATTTCTGAGCTCAGCATCGTAGAGGATGAAGTCTCGCCAGTTTCCCTATATGGCGATGGGACCTGGCTTGACACGATCCCAACATCACGGGGGACAGCAGGGTGAGGGCCTCAAGAGGGTGCTTGCGGTTCAAGGGACAAGTTGAGGATGAGACGGGATAATGCACTGATCACATGTTACTCCATCAATGTTTTGTAGGAGTCAGGACGTCCATGTGGGCAAGATTCCAAAGCTACACTCGGACTTTTTGAAAACGTCTTTTCCATTTGTTTGACAATGTTGGAGGGTTTTTTCAAGGACTCCGGTGCCCATGCAAAAGCGCCTTAAGTTGAGATACATACAACCACTGTTTTTCTTGCCTCTTGCACGCGTTTCGCTTACTATCATATTCCTGGATTCTTTTTGAGTACGCGTCTAAATCTCTGGGTTGTCAGTCTGGACATCAAAGGGTTTCGAGTTTTCTCATCGAGATATTGAATGCATGGTATACAACTATTCTTGTCCGTTGGAATTTGAAAGGTTTTATAATATTAATAGACAGATTTTTGGTAAACTTGTGGAGTTCTTTTCGAAAAAACATAAACAATATGACCTCTTGGCTCAAGCATCAGCTAATCAGACAATATCGCGCTTTGAACACGATGAAAGACATAAACTGGGAAGAAAACTAGGTCTAGTATGTAGGCAGTCTCTTCAGCGGGGAGCACTGATCCACGTTCAGGGACCTCTGACCGTGTTTTCGTCAAGTTGGTGATTGATTTTTGCTTTTTCTCCATTTGCAGGTTCGATAAGTTGGAATGGCGACAAGGAAATCGGACATGAGCTCCCCGATTGTCAAATGGATCAGGCCCTGATGCGGTCTTATGAGGTCTTATGGCAGTTCAAACCACGCACCGGGAAACGCCGGGCCCGCCCGAGAGTTTCAGAGACTGAGTCCTTCTGTGATCGAAGGGAGACGCCGAAACGCGTGAGGGTGTCTGACGAGAGTCTCATATTTCTTGATCAAAGTTTACAATACCTGAACATGGGAGACGGAACCCCATCAATCGATACTCTTCAGGATGTTGGTCAGACTCGTCGACCTACTACAATATCCTCATTGATCAGTGGAAGTGTCGGAGGCGCAGCTCAGGTACTCGTTGGGCAACCGCTTGTGAGCTAATCAATCGAAGACCCATGAAAAGAGTGAAGGTTTAGGTCGCTGATGGTTAACGAGGCTCTGTATTTGAAATACAAGGATACTATCAAGACTCGTTCTCAGATCGCACCAGTTGGAATGTTTTCAGGACCGATGGATGTCGCTCGCAAGACGATTAGTCAAGAAGGTGTTCTAGCCCTTTATAAAGGTATTTTTCATTTTTTTATCATCAGAGGCATGGAAGAATTCAACTCGTGATTTCGTATCTAGTGGGAATTTTGCGCGGCTGACAAGAACTTCTTATTCATCTGCCTACATCTGATCTCACAACTTATCAAACCACTCGATTCGCAGGCATGTTCTCACCCCTGATCGGGGTGGCCGGTGTCAATTCCTTACTCTTCGGAGCTTATACAATTTCTAAACGGCTTGTGAGCCCTTTTCCTGATCTCAGCATCTCTCAAACTGCACTTGCCGGTTAGTCTTTCATGACAAAGTCTCATGTATGTATCATGCATCTATTGCTTACTTATACTATACTGACACCGCTCATCTTGGATGATTGGTTTCAACTTTCAATGTGCTTGTTAGGCTCGATGGCAGGTGCAGTCAATAGTATCTTGGCATCTCCGGTAGAGATGTTGAAAATCAGGATGCAGGCTCAGTATGGAAAGCCCAACGATAAACGGTATGCAATTCCTTATACGATTGACTGATCTTATAGGTAGAGAACGTGGTGTCGACTGATGAATTGCAAACAAGCCTGTTTATGTAATTTATTTCTACTTCTTATCTTTGTACCATGAAAGGCTTCGAGAAGTCGTTGCTGAGCTTTGGAGAGAGTGGGGGTTCAAAAAAGGCATCATGCGTGGTTTCTGGGTGAGTTTTTTCCCTTGTCCATCAACCACTTTCATCTATGTGAAGTCCGACTTTCTCAATACTAATTGTGATCTATGTATGTACCAAAGGTAACCGTTGCACGTGAGATTCCGGCTTATGCAGGTACATTTTCGACTTGAATGATCCCAAATATAAAAACTCAGGACTCAACACAACCAAATCTTCTGACAACTCGAATATTTTTCGTCGGTCTGATTGTAGGTTTCTACGCCGGATTCGAGTATACAAAGAGAGCTTTTCAAAAATGGAAGTTTGGTTCAGATCATAGACCTCGTCATAATCATCTTCCACAAGCACCCTTACCAGTCTGGGCACTCTTAACAAGTGGTGCAGTAGGTGGGATAGGATACTGGACATTCTGTTATCCGCTAGGTAATTTTTATCTCCTTGTTTATCGTGTCTCCTATGAACATTCAACTATTTTTGATCCTACATGCGGAATGATACTGATATTTGACTTGATTGATCATCCTTTACATCAGATGTGATCAAGAGTAGGGTTCAGATGGCAGATGTGCCACCCAAAGGTTTCAACTACATCGCAGACGCCTGGCGACAAATTTGTAGAGAAGAAGGACCGTAAGTTGGTACCCCTATCTATTGTAACCTTGCATGGTGTACTGAAATTTGCACGAGTTTTCCCAAAATTGTAGGCGAGCGCTGGTACGCGGAATCGCACCGACATGTATGTATATTTTCACACTTGTGCGAATCAGTCGGCTGTCTCAATGAGTAGTGACTGATGAGCTTGGGTTCTATCCTCTTTACAACTTTTGCAGATATACGAGCGTGAGTATTTATTCTATCTATCAACCTGATCAGACTCCTATAAACCCAAATCAACTAACCAGCAAGACACCTATCTCGAATTCTTTCTCTTTGATCTGATTTTATAGAATCCCAGCAGCAGCTTCCACCTTTGTAGCATACGAGTTGATGATGGAATTTCTCCAAAATCATACAACTCTGTGAATGTATCATGTATAGAGTTATGTAAGTGTATCTTATCGAGAGTTAATAGATGCACCAAGCTATCCATAACTCTTGAATGCACATACTCCGTACTCATTGAAATCGTCATGAGCAACTGTATACTGGCACAGAAAGATTAAGAGTATATCCAGATAAGCTTTGGGAACTAGCTCGACATAAACCCCCATACCAATATAATCATCATCTACATGATCAAGATCAACGTAAATAGATTAATACCAATAATGATAACGCGCACAGAGGAGGCTCATTGCTTACCATTTGCTCAGGAGCGTTTCAGTCCTGTTGTGTAGGGTCAACAGGCAGATGGGCATAGTACTCTTCGGCTATTCATGATGATGATGTCTTCAATCTCCTAATCTGATGTTGAATCTGATCGATCGATCGGAAGGGGTCTCGGGGGCGATCGGCCTTTTGTCATATAGGCAACCGTTGACATTACGTCATAGACGGGATGGCCGAGTGGTTAAGGCGGCAGTTTAGAATCACCCCTCGTCGGGACCTGCTTCAGCTGCTTCACTTTGTGAGCGTGAGTTCAAATCTCACTTCCGTCGGACGCGACAGTTTGTCTGTCATTCACTTTTGCTTTTTTTTCCTGAACGCAATCAATTTTGCTGATCCGTGATCGGAGTTTGTCGAATGGAAGTTTTTGCTTTTGCTTGCTCTTATTTGACAAGTTCATTTCTTTTTGTTTGTGTATGATTGGTTGATTTTAAATTTGATCAACAATTGATAAATTACTGAAAAGAAATAATAAATATTTTGAAAAAATTATTATTTGATGAAATTAAAATAAAACGATTTTTGTTTTTCTACACATTCGATTATTGAAATCTAATTTCTCACTACATGATAATCAACAAAAAAGAAAAAGAAGAGACTTGTAAGGAAGAAGCCAAAAACTTTCAAATGAGTACAAATCCAACAAAAGAACAAAAAGAGAAACCAAAAAGAACCTGATCAGAAATTCCTTCATTTCTTCAGTTCTTCAAAAAACAAAAACAAGAAAGATGAAATATCAAATCTTGTTTTTTTGAAAAAATGAATACAAACAACTTGAAAAAAAGAAAAGGTTCAATAGAAAAAAAAGATGTGTGTTTTGTTCACGGGGGGCGGTGGTGGTGGGTTTTTTTCTTTCTTAAAGATCTAATAATTCAAAAATAGACCAAGCAAATAAAGGTACAATTAAATTATCATTTTGGTTTGTAAAAGCTTCTAAGCTTCCTACTAAACTAGAACCCATAATAAATTTTAAAATCTAAAATTCACCACCCAAAAAAAAACCAAAAACATCAGATGATGTTCTCCCCCCAAAAAAGTCAAAAAAAAGGGGACAAAAAGATTATTCTTGAAAGCAAGATCAAAAGACTTACCGAAAATTGTTCCACTAAATTAAAGTATCTAAAAACCAATCCGATCCAAACCAAACTTCCAATAAACCCCAAAGTACCTTCAACAGTCTAAACCCCCAAAGAAACCCATAAAATCAAACCTTCATTTCCACAACCCTCTTGAACCAAAAAGAAACCCCTCCCCCCCCAAAAACCCAGAAAAAACTTACTTTCGATCGATTACAATACCAATCCCTACCTTTACCCCATCTTCTACCAATAATCGAAGCCCAAGCATCAGACCAACCCACCACAAAGACTCCAATCAAAGATCCTAGACGGTTTCCTTCTAACCAAAGTCCCGTAGAACAAGCCGTTAAAAGGTAAAAATGACTCAAGATCACCGGACCTGAATCTTTTGAATCAATAAATTCATTCTTAAACCCAAGTGAAGATGGATTCAATTTCCCCCCCAAAAAAACTGATCGCTGGAGATCTTCGGAGAAAACACTTACAAAGAATAAATGGATTGACACGCCGATTGGGTAAACTGCAAAGTACCTTAAAAACTCTAATAGAGTGAATCCAACAAACGCGACTGTGAAAGCTAAAGAAGTGAATCCAGGCTAAGAAAAAGGAATAAAGATGATCGGTTTCAAGTCAATGAAAAAGCAAAGAGATTCAAAGAAACTTTTAAAACATACATCAATCAAGATCGCAGGAATAAACATCAAACAAGACAACCCATGAAAAAACTTTCGTCTAAAATTCAATCCGTTTCCGACGGCTTTCTTTTCGAGAGAAACCGAATTAGACGAATTAGACTGATTGAGATTTAAAGGATGATATTGATCTGAAGGATCGATTTGAAGATTGAGTTTTGAAGGTTTAGAAAGATTAGGAGGATTCAAAGAAGTTGTCCACCAACTTGATTCAAACAGGTTTTTCATCAATTTAAATAATCTTATACAAACCCAAGTCACAGTTAATTCTTGAAACCTAAACCTTTTTAATAATACATAATCTTTTACATAATGATGTTGTGGATGATGATGATGGTGATGATGACGATGTGGATCGGTTTCTTTACGTTGGTTTCGTTTCTTTTTAATTAAATAAGTTGTCCAACCACCAATTCCAATGATCAAACAACTGATCCAATATCCCATGATAGCCAATCTTTTCCAATCAACAAAACAAAAACTCAAGAACCAATTCAATCCGTTTCCCAAGAATTTCTCACTGAATGAATTGGATGCTGATAAAGAAGTAGATTGATTCAAATTAAATAACCATCCTAACCAACCTCTCAAAAGAAGCCAGCCAAAGTAAATGATACCAAGATAGATTGAAAGTGAAAGGATCTTTCTCATTCGATCTTTGGATTGATTTGCATGTTCTTTATGATTATAATGACCAGCTGGATTCGAAAATTGATGATAATATGCATCTCTAGCTAAGCTATTGATCAATGCGGGTGAAGATGTGTTTGTGGTGGGTGGTGGTAGGGGTGATGGAATGGGTGGGTGTAGAGTTGAAGGTTGTAATCGAGTAGGACGAAGTCTTTTGGTAGGTTGTTGACCTAATCTACGTGACCAGATTAACAATGGAGAAAGTGAAAAGCCTATCAAAAAGCTTGCAGAGATAAAGACATGTTGAATGGCAATCAAGGAAGTAGGGAACCGAAAGAGACCGGGTAAGAGATCAAGCGGAAGGGTTTGATTGGTTGGTATAGTTGATGAAGTGATTGAGTCCACAAAAGTGCGATACTTGATTCTAGAGATTGTTAATCTGAATATTTCAAGTGTAAAGGCTACAGCAGTAGAGGCAAAGATAGAAGTTTCTCCTAGGGTAAAACCTCTCCTTGCGAGTCTTGAAATCACGTAAAAGCATGATAGAAAGGTGAAGACAGATGCACCTGTTTCAAGACTTGATAGCTTGAGATGAGATAAACCATTGATTCGAACGATGAGACTGAAGACCAAAGCAATGAGAAAGGATTTGATGGTAGAGCCGAAGAAACGAGTAGAGTTACTGATAGGTAAATAAGCGCATGAATTAGCTACTGATGAGAAAGAGAGATCGACCAGGAGACTGAAGATGTTGATGATGGTGAATGAGAAGAGATTGATTCTTGATGAATATAAGGATTGAATGAGATTTTGAGTAGAATAAGATGGTAATTGAATTCCTCCTTCCTGTTGGTCTTGTTGCAGAGAATGATTCCAAAGTTGAATGAGATTAGGTAGATTTGAGGTTTGAATAAGATGATGATAGGCATCAGTCAGATTTGATTGATTTTTTCTAGTCAAACTGTAAAGTACAGCAGATGAGACTATGAGAGGTAATCCGATTGCGATTGAAAGACCATCATCCGCTTGAGATGGATCCCTGTAACCTCTTGCATCGGTGAATGGTACTCTAAGATAGGTGAGATGAGATTGATGATAATGAATTGATCGAAATGAGTTGATGATAAGATAGATGAAGATCAGAATGAGGTATAGGTTGAATGGGATGGTGGTAGTTTGAAGCTGAAGTTGAAATTGATGTTGATCGTCATTGGTGTTAGTGATCGGTTCAGTGTTCGTAACGGTAGATAGTTGATAAATCCGATAAGCTGATAAAACCAAGCTAAAGAAGATGATGAGAGCTTCTATAGGTGAATGAGATTTGATGATAGTATGCGACCGAGTAGGTGAGGTAGATAAATGCAAGTGATCTGATATGAATTTTTGTTTTTTGATAGAAGGAGATGACCTTGATCTGATTGGATTTGAAGTGTTGATGTTAGATTGATTTGATGGGTTTGATAGATTTAAAGCTTTGATAGATTTGTTTGATTTGATAGATAGATTTGAATTGATGGAATTGATGGAATGCGTTGGAGATGTAGATTGAGTTGGAGATGGAGAAGCTGAAGTTGAAGCTGAAGTTGTAGTTGAAGTTGAGTTTGATAATGATAATGATAATGAAGTGATGGGTCTTGATGATGATGGATTTGATGATGAAGTTGATGGTTGATTGTATATTGAGTAATTTGATTCCATTTCTTATTTCATCTGAACTTCAATCAACTAAATCAGCAAGTAAAGTAAGTAAGAGTAAGTAAAGTATAGTGTTGGCTTCTGTTCGGTAAAGTACAATAATTGATCAGGAAGAATAACTTGTAGCTGTTAAAACCCCTCGCAATCGAGTTATTTACAATTTCACCCTACCCGACTCGGTGTCTTGTCCGGGCATTTCCTACTCGGGTCATCCAACAGACAATTGATGGCTGTGTCTGTCGGGTGAAGGAAAACTAGGAAAACTATGACCTCAAACGCATCATACTCATCTCACTGATATGTATTCGATGTGCGTACAACCACCAGATGGAATGTCCATTGAAGATCTTTCGGGCATCCGCAACACTTTCCCTGGTAAACCACCTCAGACTCTCATATCATGATGTCGATATTTTGTCGATATGGGGTTTGTATTGGAATGGTCTGGATCACAGTTCAAGAAATCAAACGGATCCAATGACAATCAAATTTCACACTTTTCTTTAAATCTGATCGATCATAACTAAGTCAGACCATCTTCATCTTTTATTTCGTTGAAGTTTGGTTCTTCACTCCATTGGTGATCATGGTATATGATCAAGAAACATCATCATTCACCTTGAATCTGATCACCGTGCTCAGACTTGGAAATAAACTCCTTAGGAGCAGTCTTGATTGATCGATAATTTTGTGTGAATCTGATTTAGCATCTTTAGGAGTTATATCGCATTCCTAATATCTCCTCTTGAGTGCCGCAGGACTGAGAAAAGATCTTCATTTTTAAAGGGGTCCCTGGAATTTCACGGCCTACGTTTTACGCTACATAAATTATGGAAAGTGCGTAACGCGTAAAATTCCACTATTCGCTCACAATCTGCAATTTTACGCTCGTTCGATCGAGCGCAAGATTTCCAGCGCAAAGTATGGCACGTAAAATTCCATTATACATCTAAGAAAGACGACTTTTACGGCTCTTTTCTTTTACGCACAACATCGAGCGTAAAAAAAGCGGCGTTGAATTAGATAAAGCAAATTGAAACTTGAATTTTACGCGCGATAAGCAGCATTTCACGCTCCAAGTTACCTCAGATGTCTCTGGGTGTCCTGGCCATCCCGATGAGATCAATGTTTTTTCGGGTCTCAAAACAATCACTCAAGTGTCATATCACTCATGTTCATTTATTGATACTTCTTTTATCGGACTCATCAGGCGTATTACCAAAACAACGACCCCTGATGCGTATCGTGAGCCAGGTTAATTGTCACTTCAACTGCCCTGGACTGGATCACTTTGGCGATTGAGCCCAGTTGGTGATCAATCAATTGGACCAGGGCCCAGATATATCAAAGAAGTTAGGAACAGCTTGTTTCAGCCGTTTTCCAAATAATGAATATTGGTTGGTTTAGCAACCAATGCGAGCCCTTTTCACTTCCTATCGTCTTGTGTCCTCGATTTCATCTTGTCTTGGTCTTGATTTTGTTATTTAAATTTCCTTCCTCATTGTCTAACCATCGACACCTTCCACATCAATATAGAACACTTTTTCACCTCCTCATCGACTAGTTTCCTAAGTTTTGTTTTTTCATTGTCCTACCATATATGTTTCATTGCTGCTTGATTTTTTCCTTTCAGTACTTCCGTACGCGTAGGAAATTACTCAAGTAGTTTTGAATTTATGTTAATTCTTTGCTGCTTCAAAAGATTTCCTTTAGTACTTCCGTACGCTTAGGACATCATTTGGAGCAGCTTAGATTTTCCACCTCGTCTCTTTACCCATCCGATTTTTTTCCTTTTAGTACTTCCGTACGCGTAGGAAATTATTCAACGGGTTCTGAATCAAATTCCAGCTTGTCAGCCAGTTTGTTTATCTTTATTTAGACAGTTTGTAATGAATTGATGTGTACAGGAGATTTTTCAAAAGAATCGTTCAAAATTTTAACTCCTGCACTAGAAAAAAAAGACAAAAAAGTAGATTGAAATGATCAAACTGAAGCTCAAAAGCATGTGACTTGATGTTGTCCGGCTCACAGGTGTGTCTTTCCTTTGCATCCCATTTGACTAAAGCAATGGTACTAATACAGCACACCATCAACAACCTTACAAGCCTATGGTTAGATCATATTCCCCCCCTGCCTTTCCCAACTCCTTTTGAGCAGCCCAGCTATCCATTTGACTGTGGTACTTTTTGATCCAAGTGGGCATATTAGTACTTTGAAGCATTGCTGTGTTGCGGTGCCAACCAAAAACTTCTGGAAGTGGCAAAAGAGACGGCTCTTTTGCCCTCAAGGTGCAAAAGTGGATTCCATCAATAAAGGCCAGTACTATGGGAGCTTTGCTGTTTGGTTGGGTGCGATAAGGAAAAAAAGTGTTACAATTTCCTTGACTTGGATCCAATAGTACTACGGGACAATCATAAGCACTAGCAATAACAAACCCCATGAAAGGCATCCACATCCAGTACGCCTTTTCACATTCAACTTTGTCGTGATTCAGTCGGATGAGCATGTCTTGAACAACTTCTGCAGCAAAAGATTGAGTTCTTCTAGTCCTCATTGAGGTTCGGTTTGGAGTTGAGGAGAGGAGCATTTCGTGATTTTTAGCATGTTCAGATAGCTCATGAAGTAGTTTCTGTCTGACATCCAAATACGATTGTTCAGAGTAGATACCTAAAGCCTCCGCGGTTGCATAGTATCCACAGTTTCCATATGCAGGTGGGTTGAATGTTGAATCGATGTAGGGAACCATGAAACCAGGTATCTGCCTCAATATGTCCTGATCTAGATGAGAAGTGAGCGCACTTTTCTCGCAGCAACGACTAAACGACTTGGAATCTTTGATGACATTCTCTGCAACAAAATTCTCGTCTTCAAGAGGAAACATTGCGTTTCCAAAGACGCGGCTTTCTTCAAGAGTTTTTTTGACTTTGGGATGCGCCCTTGGCAGGTCCAAATCTTCAGCAATGAGTGACAAGGCAACTTCAGGAACCAGTACACGGCGAATGAAGTATTCGGGAGGGAAAGGAGTGGCTTTTCCGACATCTAGTTGAGTGGCCGACTTTTCAGACAAGAACATTCTAGTCAAAGTCTTGCTGATTATTTCCAAACCTCTCTTGCCATAACTGAGAGGGAGGAAATATTGTTAGTGTCCTCCCAATACCCGACAAATATGAGCAAACACTTACTACCCGGGCTGCTCCACCTGAAAACCATCAAACTCGCCGGATAAACTGAACATGGCAGGTCCCTGTTTTTTCCATTGGATCCTGGCATTCTCCAGAAAAGACAAAGATGATTTTTTATCAATGATCTGGACAAGATAATCGGTATGATTTTGAATGCGCCTGAAATTTAGGCATCATCAGCAAGCAAGGTCGACTCAATTTACTGGAGATGGAAAATCGCAAGGTCAAGTAGAGAATTCAAAACTTACTGTTCTAGAATGTCGAAGTTGATTGCAGTTGGCCAACCCTCAAGTTTTCCCAAGGGTATCGCATTCCGCTCCGCCGCATGAAGATCACAGAAATCAGCTGATATCGGCCACTAAGGGTACATAAAAGTTCAGCAAAAAAACAAATCAATTATCAAACTAATGACAAACAACTCACAGAAGAATCGGGTAAGGCCAATAGTGTATCTTTCAGCTTCAGGAGTCTTTCCGATGGCGCTGAAGGAAGCAGATCTTCACAGAACGGACATTCTTCTTCTCCTTCACGTCGATCTTGCATGCTGACGTCAGAATCACTTGTGTCAGAATTACTCGTGTCGGAATTATTGGTGTCAGAATTACTCGTGTAAACTTGTGCTGGTTCATTCTTGGGTGCAGGTGATATCTTTAAAGTGGGACAATAGTTGGCCCGATGTCCTGGTTCCTTGCAGAGGCCGCATTTGAAAGGGCGTTTAGGTTGTGTTTGCGTTGTTTGTTGCAAAGGTTGGACTGACTGAGAAGGAGGAGCTTGTAACGTTTTGGAACTTTGAGTGTCCTGAGAAACTCTTCCATTAGATGTAGAAGTACGAGCCTTCTTCTTTGCGCTTCCTGAAACTGGAATTGGGTCAGGTACTTGTTTTCTCTTCCCTACCTTCAAAATCAATCGCTGTGGTTTTATCTCTCCGCTGACTTGATCTTTTTGATCATGGCCTTTAGTAATCTCTGGATCCGCAACCTGAGTCAGATCTGATAGCTTGGTGTTGTTGCTGAATAGATCCGTGAGTTCTGACTGATTAAGAGAAATAAGTTTGTTTGCGGCCTCAGTCAAATTTGATAGCTTAGTGTTGTTGTTGAATAGATCTGTGAGTTCTGACTGAGTAAGTGAAATAAATTCATTTTTTGATGTCTCATTCAAACAATGTGGGCTGATCTCATCATCCTTTGGTAATTCAATTTGGGAACTTTGATGATTTCCTTTTCCGTGTTCTAGTGATGATGCAGCTTGGGTGGGATGTTGAGGAACTGTTGGAAATGGATTGAGTTGTGGAATCAAGAGACTTTGGTCATTTAGCTTGAGAGGATTATCTTTCATGTATTTTTCTTCTTCGGGATTGTAATCTCTGGAATACATCACCCACGATGTATTTTCAGATGTTCCTCCAATAGATTTTAATTCTCGAGCAACCATTTGAGCTTTGCCTGCATTAATTGCATCATTATGAACCCACACTGCCTTGAGACCTTTGTAATCACGAACTACTTTGCACCAGTAATGATTTCCACTCCAATACCCCCGAGCATTCATTTTGTAAGTTATGTTTTCTAAAACAAGCTCATAGGGGAAATCAACTTCAGCCTGCATTTTTTTGGCGGCTTTGTGATCAGAATCGAGCAGCAGATCTATGTCGAGTTGAATGTAAAGATGAGGAGGTGGTGGTTTTAATTTGATGACACTTTGCTCATAAAACGCTGGTGTTCCTGTTGCACCTTCTGGACACAACATACAGTGTAAGTTTGAAATTCCCCGAAGACCAGTTGAACACCATTGTGAAATCAAGTTTCCAGCTCCGGAGTAATCAAGGCTGCAATTCTGAAATTGTGATGGTATGATGTGGATGGCGTTGGTTTGTGTGGTTTCTTTTTTTTTATGAGTTGAATCCTTTGAACAGATGTACTGGACTTCACAATCCATTCGCCATAGAGTCTTGATTGGTGCTGTTTTGTTTGTTTTTGAATCAAAAAGTTTTTTGAAAAACATATCTGCTGAGTGAAATTCATTGCTTTTAAACATTCCTTCAAAAGTTGATTGTAATGCGTTCTGGAGAGAATTTTGCCCTTGTACGAGGATCTTTGCAATGCTTGCTACTTCTGACATTTCACATGTAGCACGCGAACTGAGATGTTGTGTTAATTTTGTGTAAAGATCACCAGACTTTCCATTAGATCCACGGAACCAGAGCGGATTGATAAGAGTGTAAAGACATTCAAGGATTGAATTCATCCAGCAACGGTTTGCCCGAGGGAATTTTTGTGTAGCAACGTAGGATTGATAGGTGGTAACAGGATTACAATCAACTCCAGTGGCTCCTTTTGGGCGTCCCAGTTTCTTTGTGGAAAGGAGTTTAGTTGTGGTATCAGGTGGCCGGCCATCATTTGGTTTGTGTCGTTTTTTTCGATTTTTTGACCATCCAAAGGCCTGTGACACCTTTTTGTAGTTTTTAGAGAGACCACCATATTCAACTGAAATTCCAGCCATCAAGTCTGTGTAATTCCGTTCAAGACACTTCACCAGTGCAAACAATTGGACTAAGCCAACTTGAATGGTACAATTCCCTTCACTTTGAATTCCAAAAGTTTAAATCAAATAAAAGAAAGAATAAGTTACAAAGGAAACTTTAAACTTTCAAGAAAAGAAGAAGAACTTGCCATATCATGTAGTACACTCGATGCATAGACTCTTTGTTAAACTGTTTAGAGCGGACAGAGACGAGAGAATTTATAGTAGCTCAAAGTTAGAGCACGCTCAAGAACAGTTGTGAGAGTGTTAAGAGAAAACACTCGAACCTTTATAGTAGCTCAAAGTTAGAGCACGCTCAAGAACAGTTGTGAGAGTGTTAAGAGAAAACACTCGAACCTATTCAAGACGGACAAAAGGAACTGGACGTGAGGAAATGACTTTTGGACAATGATAATGAAAAGTTCAGATGGTATTTCTTTCTGCACACCTTTATAGTAGCTCAAAGTTAGAGCACGCTCAAGAACAGTTGTGAGAGTGTTAAGAGAAAACACTCGAACCTGAGAACAAAGTAAAGGAATTAATAAGAGAAAGAAATAGTAAAAAGTATGCTAGTATCTAACCTATTCAAGACGGACAAAAGGAACTGGACGTGAGGAAATGACTTTTGGACAATGATAATGAAAAGTTCAGATGGGAAAAAGAGGAACAACAGTTGCACACAGAAAAGAACTACTAATAGGTGAAAAACTTCTTTTCTCCATTTCCCAATCCGTCAACTCCTTTCCACATCATCCACGTTTCATCCCAATGGTTACATTGTCCCAATCCGTCAATAAAATGATCAAGTTGTGGTTGTCTAATAAGTTACCTAACCGGTGATGGTGAACTGCAATTCTGAAATTGTGATGGTATGATGTGGATGGCGTTGGTTTGTGTGGTTTCTTTTTTTTTATGAGTTGAATCCTTTGAACAGATGTACTGGACTTCACAATCCATTCGCCATAGAGTCTTGATTGGTGCTGTTTTGTTTGTTTTTGAATCAAAAAGTTTTTTGAAAAACATATCTGCTGAGTGAAATTCATTGCTTTTAAACATTCCTTCAAAAGTTGATTGTAATGCGTTCTGGAGAGAATTTTGCCCTTGTACGAGGATCTTTGCAATGCTTGCTACTTCTGACATTTCACATGTAGCACGCGAACTGAGATGTTGTGTTAATTTTGTGTAAAGATCACCAGACTTTCCATTAGATCCACGGAACCAGAGCGGATTGATAAGAGTGTAAAGACATTCAAGGATTGAATTCATCCAGCAACGGTTTGCCCGAGGGAATTTTTGTGTAGCAACGTAGGATTGATAGGTGGTAACAGGATTACAATCAACTCCAGTGGCTCCTTTTGGGCGTCCCAGTTTCTTTGTGGAAAGGAGTTTAGTTGTGGTATCAGGTGGCCGGCCATCATTTGGTTCGTGTCGATTTTTTCGATTTTTTGACCATCCAAAGGCCTGTGACACCTTTTTGTAGTTTTTAGAGAGACCACCATATTCAACTGAAATTCCAGCCATCAAGTCCGTGTAATTCCGTTCAAGACACTTCACCAGTGCAAACAATTGGACTAAGCCAACTTGAATGGTACAATTCCCTTCACTTTGAATTCCAAAAGTTTAAATCAAATAAAAGAAAGAATAAGTTACAAAGGAAACTTTAAACTTTCAAGAAAAGAAGAAGAACTTGCCATATCATGTAGTACACTCGATGCATAGACTCTTGAGCATTAGTTGTCGCAGGAAGACCATCATCATCATCATCCAATCCATAATCATCAATTTTAGGTTTTCGTCCAGGAAAAAGCATAGCTTCTATGTCTGCAGATTGCCACCACTGTATCCACCCTTTAGCAAGTGGAAAATCCTTCACAAGATTATCCATTTTTTGCTCATGTGTTAGACCACCCGCTTTTTTGGCTTGAAGCAAAGATAAGGCTTGTGTGGTGAATGACTCCTACAAAGCAAAAAATCAGTATTGAATCTTTAAAGATGAAAGGTTTCAAGATATCTCTACACACCTGATCCCCTAATTTTATGATGGCATGATTCCGTTTTATACGTGTAATTGAGGCACGAAAATGTTCTTCACATCCTGAAAGCCTTGAAAGTGCATGATTGTAATCCTTTTCAAAGATAGACATATACGCTGCAATGAAGCCATTCTTCTGTGCGGTTGAAAAATCTACAACTTGACGCACTACAATATCGCGTTCAGCCGGAGTCATAGAAGCACCTTTGATCTGTTTCAATAATGTTTCAAAATGAGACTGATAATGAGCAGTTGTAAGGCCTCCGATCCAAGTGAGTTGAATAGGAGTCCAGCGTTTGAGGACCTCACTATACATTGAAGTGGAAAGGAGGTATCCGATTGCAAAAAACTTATAGGTGACATCAGAAAGCAGTCCACCTCTATAAACACCATCATTTTCATCCCTCATTAACAACTGATCTGCCATCCACTGTGTTTGAAAAGTGAGATGGGCATCTTCCATGAATGAGCTAGAAATCATTTTCAAACCACGTCTAGAATTATAATAAACATCACAAGTAAGCTTAAGTGTTTCTAATTTTATTTCAAGCAGGTACTTACTTTAACCACTCGCCCATATCTGTGACAAATTCATCTGATTTCCCAGCATTCTTTTTGTCTGGAATCATCCCTGCTTGAGATAAAAACACTCGACGGTAGTAAGCCACTTGGTCTCGATGTCCAAATGCCCGATGAATTGATGCCACTGTCTCAATAGGTTGCTGTCCTGCTGGAGCTCGCCCAACCTGTGAATGCAATCAATTCACATCAACAACTACCTCAAAAACAACATAAAACAAATACGCCAATTTTACAACTCACGGTGTGCTCTATGGGACGCGTCACTGGGTTGCTTATAATCTTCTCAGCGAGTTTTGATTTTGAAAGCTTGTCTGCTATTGATTTTCTAGGCCAAGGATGACCATGGACACCCATATGTCTCATAATCCCCCATCCACTGATGTGGTTATCAACACGACAGGTGGTATTAGTGCACCTTTGATAATATAGATTGCCCGGGCATCTTGGTACCTTGCACTTGTTTATCCTAGTGAGATGATTGATAACAGATGAATAAGTTCAAAATTCAATCTTGACATGATAGAGTGGGTACTTACACAGTCTCCCATTCATCCATCTTCCGTCGACCAGTCAAAGGTGAGTCAAGGACATCACACTCCAGGTTTTCACAACGAATTACACCAAGGCAGTTGATGCAAAAAGTATTCCAATCACCCTCATCACTGCCACGAGCACCTGACTTGCTATAGCTATAACCCACTATGCCCCAGTTGGTGACTTTTTGCTTCGGCATCTTGACATATACAGTCCCTCGGTCTGGGAACAGCGGATATCCCTCAGGATCAAGAGTAGTACCATGATCAATGAAGGTTTCAAATGATGCTTGATCAACTGGTAACCTAAAGTTCTTTTTACCGGCCTTCGATTCGACTTCATCTTCTTTTTCGACTTCATCTTCTTTTTTGACTTCATCTTCCTTTGAATTGACCACATCTTCATTCAAGTCGAGTGTATTTTCATTGATAGCTGTCTTGATGATCTCTTCAGTTTCTTCTTTGTCATAATAATCAAATAGGATATTCGGATCCATCATCAAGGGAGAAAAGGTTGAATTTGTGATGTTCAAAGTCGAAACAAAATCAAATGTCTCTCATGATTTATTTGCGCTGGACCCCTGCATACAAAAAATCATTCTGTGCGTACAGGCCATCCCAATTGGGACTAGCACATTTAGAGGTGTAACTCAGGCCGCAAAATTCAACAGTCCACCCCGAAAGTTGATTTTTGCGGCCTTTCTTTTACACACCTTCAAGGCCGTGAAAATCAAAGGCCGTAAAATTCATGATTCTAACCCCTCTACATACAAATTTGCGCTTGATCTTTTGCGCTTCATATTTTTACGCATCTCAAAAGTAAAAAAACCAGCGTAAAATTCCACAATCGGTGGGAATTGTGTAATTTTACACCTCTCGCATTTTACGCTCCTTATCCGGCGTAAATTGTGGAGCGCAAAATTCACCCACCCCTTTTTAAAGTGTGATTGTTAAATAGGATATTACACACTACATATTCGTCTCATCAAAACCTCGAGTGAACAAGCATTTCTGGGACTTGGTATTTCTTGATGACTGGGACATTTTCACTCTCTGCTCCGGTGTATTTCCTTCTGCTTTCGCGCGCTTTGCTTCCATGTGTAGATCAACGCATAAATCACCCCCCGCTTAGGGTGGCTGTTAATAAGTTTTAGTGCTGCTGCGCTGCAGGTTGAGTGAGCATCAGGAGGGCGGTGAAAACATCGTGACCAGCCGCGGCCCGCGGGACATCATTGCAATTTTCCCAAAATGTGGTCCCGTGCATAAAGTGTATTGGCCAGTTTACCATGTTGTCCCATTATGACAAAGATGGATTCACAACAATGATCATCCCACCAATCTTCATTCTACACTCTACAAGTCCATGCAAAGTTGCTGATTACCACTCTCCCGGAAAACATTGATAATATTTAAAGATATCAAAGCTGTTTTCAAGACTTTTCCACAAGAAAGCTCGTCATAAATTATAACTATTTTTTATAACATTCTTTAGCTTTTATTTCAATACCATCATGCTGTGGCTATTCTGGATGTATTCCCTTTTGATTTATGTCTGTGCGCCAATGGCAAGATCACACAAATGAAAAATGGGTGATTATATCATACAAGGCCTGGCGCATACATAGAAATCACCAAGCCTGATGTTTCTTTAAAATATTGGTTTAGCTTTTATTTTGGTTGTGTACACTGTGTGCAAATATCCATACATCCATGGATGGATCTCAGTATGAGGAAGTCTATAAGCAGGTACACCAATCAAATGGATCAGGATGGACAAAGGATGATGAGGCTGCAAGATATCTTAATCTTGCTACGGATCACAATTGATTATGCTGAGTATCACTATAGAATCTAGATCACTATCACGCGGTTCGGTTGATATGAGGACGCGTTAATTTCAAATACATGCGAAATGTCATCACATCATGTGAAATGTCCAGCGGGAGGCCAATTGAAATTTTGTGGAGATCTCGCCGGCCGGCCAGAATCGGAATCGCCGAAGCCTTCAATTTCTCTGAAAGTTGATTCTTTCAAGTGAGGCGAATGTTTTTATTTATGTACATACACACGTAATTTGATCTTCAACTTACCGCCTCTCGTTAACTTCCCGGCTGTCGCTTTTCCATCGTCATTTATTTGACTTTTTGGCCATTATACCCACTGAGATTTTTTTTAAAGATCAGATTTCTTCCGATATCGAACAGTTTGATCATAGCACTTCTATAAAATCCATAACATGCTTCGCGCAACTTTCTTGGTCCTACTCCTTTCATTTACACTCCTTCAAGTTGATTTATTAAAGTTTCATTTCCAGAAGCCAGGATTAGGTCAATCGACCCTTGCCGCAACCCGTGCAGAAGATATTAAGCAGAAACTTAAAGAGGCTCATTCTGATTACATTCGTTGGGGATTTCCTGCTGATGAAGGTCTGTTTACTTCAAAGTGAAAAGACGTTGATTTTTATGATTTGATAAACTGAAATGTGGTGAATTGTCTTATGTACCATGATTTATCAGTCGCACCATTATCTAAAAATGGTTCAAACACACTTAATGGTTGGTAAGTCGATAAAGACCCGCTTGGTTTTCGTATCTCTCCGCTTTGCACTGACTGCGTGTGCGATCTGTATTTAGGGGAGCTACCCTTGTAGACAGCTTGGACACACTTTACATGATGGGCCTACACGTGAGTTACATAAAAGTAGCATTCTAAGTTTTGTGTTGACGAGTACATATGTTGTGAAAATGGTTGTATGCAAAATAGGACGAATTCGAGGACGGGCTTAAGAAGACAGCCAAGATTGACTTCAGTCGAAGTTATGTTAATCAGGTAAAGAGCCTCGTAAACAAAATAGACCTTTCTGGGCGGCTAATCTACGATGAAAAGCTGACGAGTGTTGTATATACACCACAATGTCAACAGACAGTATCAATCTTTGAAACCACAATCCGATACCTTGGTGGAATACTGGTACGTCAATATCCTTATAACTCCCTCTTGCTCAGATAGGTTGGGGAAACATGTGACTTACCAAAAGTTTTGAATGATGTTAGACAGCGTATGAGTTGACTGGACAAACTCGAAAAGACCTCTTAGATAGAGCTCATCAATTGGGTAATAAACTAGCATATGGATGGTCAAATTCTTCACATCCAATTCCTTATGGATTTTTAAACTTTACCACCAACAAACCAATAATTGATACGACCAATATAGCAGAAGTGAGTACCAAAGCTTTCCCTCAGGATTTGATATTTCATTCCTTATATTTGCCTCTTTTTTTGGTTTTGATCAGGCTGGTACACTTATCTTGGAGTTTGACCGCTTGAGTCATTATACTGGCAACGACACCTTTCGCGCCTTGGCTGACAAAACTATGAAAGCTCTTATGAGTAAGTAAAAGTCATGAGACCAGAAGCATCAAAACTTGACTTTTAACAAATCATCATTTCATTTCATAACAGATCTTCCCAACGAGTTTCCCGGGCTACCTTCTCGGGAAATATATCCAGGAAATTCTAGTTTTGTTGGTGACTATATCACATGGGGTGGTGGTATAGAGTTGAGCACCTACACAGTATTCTTACTCTTGTTAAAGAGATATTGAAGTACTACGTACATCTTTTTCACTTCTTACTACGTGTAGCTCGTACTTTGAGTACCTGCTGAAGTATGCAATGCTGGTTGATAATCGGGATCCTAGATACCTTGAAGGTATTCAAAAATTTTCTCTCACTCATGAGCATTCATCTAATCATCTGTTTTACACCTTCACTGATAACCTTTATGGAAATTTAATGATATCATCATATAGAGTGGAAAAAAGCAGTTTACTCATCGATCAAGCATTTATTAACTGTTTCGAACGGACATACCTACCTCGCAGCTTATTCTAAAAGCCGAAAAGGACTTCAATACGTAGTTTCTCATTTTGAATGCTTTGTTGGAGGAAACTGGCTCTTAGGTGGAAAGTTCATCGGTGATGAAACGATCGTCAAATACGGTTTACAATTAATCGATACTTGTATGTATACAGTTGAGTACATTGTTTACGATTTCATCTTGATAGCCTCTCTCACTTCTTTTACTTTATCACGATGATTTCTATCGATTCTTTTGAGATAGTACACAAGTACGGAGACTGGGCTGGGTCCTGTAGTCTTCCGCTTTCTGGGACCTAATGGAGAGGTCACTGGACCAAATATGACTGCACAGGTACATCATATCATTCCAGCCTTTTTGTGTGGTATACATTGATGTGTGTTTCTTTTTATTGCACAGGACCAAGCATTTAACAAGAAGCATGGCTTTTATATTTCAGCTGCTGATTATCTATTACGGCAAGTCTCTTCTATAAAATTTTCATTGAAAGTATTCAACACCCTAAAACTTATAAAAGTAACCATTTGTTTGAACTTTAGACCTGAAGTCTTAGAATCAGTTTTTTACGCCTGGCGTATGACAGGTGATGAAAGGTATCAAGAATTCGCATGGTCCACATTCAAAGCATTAAATAAGTATTGTAAAGCACCTGCAAGTTATGCTTCTATATTGTATGTTAACGATGCTAAAAATGTTACTCAAATCGATGACTCTGAAAGTTTTCTGTAAGTCACCTTTATTTTTTCAACGATTGTAGAAAAAAGGGAAAAGTTTGAGTTTTGACTCATTATATTCTCTTTTAAATGTAGCTTTTCTGAGACGTTCAAGGTAAGAGAAATTAACTCTTTTGGTCTCAAAGAAAACATTGGAAAATCCTATACAATTAGATCACAGCAATGGAGTTGATCAATGTGGATTTTCTTGACAGTATCTATACTTAATATTTGCACCAGCTTCTCATTTTTCGCTTGATGAATACGTCTTCAGTGAGTTCTGAAGAGCGCTTCAATTTTGAGGCTTATATACTAATATCACCGTGACTTTAATTTAGACACTGAGGCACATCCGTACCGCTACAATGGGTGTTAAGATCCATCTTCTCTTTCAAGGGACTTTATCCCGTTCCTTTTCTCTCTCTATCAAAAATCATCCCTATCTTCCATTTGCTTGATTTATGTCTCTGAAACCAATCTTAAGAACCTTTCTGGAACAGCTTTAAACCAATGTGAATTTGTGATCAACTTTTTCGTCTGTCTGTAACTTAATTCTTGACTTGTTATACTACATATTACGATCTTTTTGTTCGTCTTTGTTTTTACCATATTTATATTCAGAATCTGGTCAATATCGTCGAGTGCAGTACATGGGGCCATGCTATGAAGCTGGCGCATTTGCAAAACAAGATGACAGGCCCTTCAGATCACCGTGCAGCTATTATTCATTATTCTGCCTCGGCTCTGACTCTTACTATTAGATTTAATGCCTAACAGCCTAGCCAGACTTCACACTTTGATTGATAAATGTGCTAGAAGATTTTATCGTATGATGGTTTGGTATTTTGAATACTAGAGCCAAACTGAGTTGAGATGGTCATCATTGAGCACGTTTTGATGCGGTTCCAAGAAGCCTGTGTTCTTCTGTGAAAATATGATAAAATCACGCTTCTCAATGATATTCCTGGCTCAGAGAGATGATTGGCGGAACAAGGGAAATATATCATCCTATGTATGTATATCACCGTGCCAAGAGTTAAGGCACTTCAATCTGACCTGAATCTGAGAAACTATCCCTCCTTTGAGACTCGCTTAACCAAGTCCCCACCTCAAACCGCAGGCGTTGAGTCTGCGGAGGAGGACTTGGAGTCTGAGAAGAGTGGATGAATGGATGTTACCCGCACGTGATGATTGCCCGGTAATGACGATTACCCGGTTCCGTGCATTGACAATTTGAGACCCGTGCAAACGCATAAATTTGAAGTTTGAGGGAAGAATCAAAGTTTTTGACAAAAGACAAGGAAACAAGGAAACAAGATGGAACAATCAACTTCAACTTCAACTTCAACTTCAGCTTCAACAACAGCAACAGCAACAGCTTCAACTTCCAAATCAACTCTCGAATCTAAAGCTCAATTCATACCCAAACCATCAACTACATCTGAAACTTTTTTAAATGAGTTTTGGTCTCATATCACAAATCATGCAAAGGCGTATCAATCCGATTTTAAAGATAGTCAAATCCCATTAGCAAGGATTAAAAAGTTAATGAAAACTGATCCAGAGATTAATGTAACGAATCTCACTTTTCTATTCGATCTATTTTCAAGAAGAAATTGACTTATTTTCTTATTGACATTTTAAATAGATGATAGCTACTGAAGTTGTAGTGATGATGGATAAAGCTTGTGAAAGTAAGTACAGTACCTCATTCATCTTTTAAATAACTTATCACTCATGTATTCCTTGTTGGTCTTCTTGCAGTCTTTGTCAACGAAATCACCGTTCGAGCTTTTCTTGTAGCAAGTGCTTCGAATAGACGTACCCTAAATACGGATGACATAGCAATTGCAGTTAGCAAGAGTGATATGTTTGATTTCTTGATCGATATCGTACCACCACCAGAACATCCGGCTTCAGAGTGAGTTCTTTTCAAAGACAATCAATCATTGCACTTCCGGGACAGTCTAATCTGAATATTGTTCTCTTTACCTCTTTTTAGTGAACCTCTTGACAATAGTCTAACCTCGCCAACCTCAGGATCAGTTCCTCTTCCATCCAAACCATCAAAAAAACGTACAAGAGCCAGAGTCCCTACCTCACCAATCCAATCCACATCAAATATCAACAAGAAGACTAAACGTCCTATGAAACCAAACCCGAATCTTTTACCTGAAGAAATCGCTGTTCCTATCCCCGAAGCTGACCGTATTGCCGAACGACAACGTCTACAGGCGGTACCGATTCCTGATTCTGAATTAATACCTCCCCGTTGGGAAATGGCTGTACCGATATCTGATGATCACCATCATCCGACTCTTCTCGATCATCCAGACCAAGAGGATGACCAAGAGGATGAAAAACCGAACATCGGAATCGACCCCTTGGATCCTTCTACAACGGCCCATCAAGATGATGATGATCCAGGAGAGATCACCCCACAAGCCCCACGAACTTGGGAAATGGCTGTACCTATCTCTGCCTCTGATCACACAAACGTGCCAGCCGTGATCCGACATCCCAAAGGATGGGAGTTAGCCGTACCTATCTCTGAATCCGAACCTGCACCTTCATCACGATTTCCTCAGTCCACAAAACCCACCTCAATCCCGACCTCTCATCTTCACACACCTCTTCCGGGACCCTCTTCAAGCACATTTGAGCTAGCGGTACCTATTGAAGACTCTCCAACTCCAACTCCCCCATCATCTCCTTCCCAACGAGCTTCCCATCATCAACGAATGTCTTCTTCTAGCTCAACCACAAACAGAGAGCGTCACATAGACCCTGCCTTACGAGGCCTAGCGAACTCTCATCGTTCTAACAATTCCCTTCCCTCTTCTACTCACTTTGGTCACTCCGATCATCGCTCTGATCGCACACCAGTAGTGAAACAAGAAGAGGAATGATATTTCAAGCCAATGATCACTACAAATCACCTAGGATTCCGTAATTTCCTGCCACTCTTTTATTAAACTGCCAAATCCTGAGGGATGGCTCTGATATTAATGCATAGACTGATCGCTAGTTTTAGCACGTCACTCATATGTGTCAGTGATTTTTTAATTTCCAACTTATATTGTAAAGTTAATTAAAACTTGTAAAGCTTAAATTTAGACTGTGAAGCTAAGATATAGACAAACCAAGATGTCAAGAGTAGCCAAATGGTTTCTACTAGACTCAAGATCAATTGATGAGAATATTTGGGTACATGAATAATTTCCTGTTATATGAGGCTAGTCAGCACCACATATATTGATAGTGATATTGTGTGAGATTTGTAGGCTTCTTAGGTCTTGGTTTTAATCTTGATTGAAAACAACCTGGTTCAGATAGGCTTAAAATGTACACATAGACTATGGTGAGTGTGAGTATATCTCAAGTGGATAGTTGTTGCTTGATGTTTGGTGAAGACATCCATGAGCTCTGCATATGTGCAACGTTTTATCATGATTGGCACAACCAATATGGTTGGTATGGTTTGAAGTGTCCTTTGAGCCAGATACCCTGCCAGCATTAAAGAGGTTGGGAATCTCATTGAGAGGAGAATGGGTCATCAAATCATCTCACACTGCAAAACTGAGCCATAAAGCATATGCTACATCTGTGCAAACATCTGAGTAAATCCTTAGGGTACATTTGGTTGCACTTACGGATTGTAAACTCCATTTGACCCCAGGTACATTGCCCCGGGGCAATTGAGTTTATTGGTCAAATGGAGTTTTCTTCAAAAAAAACTCCGTTATGGGTCCATTTGAGAAAATCACGTTTGGTGGAAAATCCTAACCAGACGTATCTTGTGTGCAAACTGTTTACCAAAGTTTCTCACTCCCTCTCTCACCTCACCTCACTTCACTGTCACATTCTACCACCTCACATTGACCGGTATGGATATGCTTTGGCAATCTCCAATCCAAGCAATGATCATGTGACACAATCTTTGTCCTCTTTATCCCCATCCAACAACTTTTCAATCAAAGTCAATGTTGAACAATCAATTAGGATGGAATGGACAAAATTGAATGATTGACTCAAATTGAATCATCAATCAAATTCAACAAAAAATCCAATTCCAATACTCTGCTTCACTTTCTATGTATCTCATCTTTCAAGGGTGATTTGTGTTGTATTTCTGGACGTTCAAAAATTGATCATGATTGAATGGTTGATTGAAATTCAACAAATGAATTATTTTGAATGATTGATTGATATTGCCCAATCGATTGAAATTGACCGATCGATTGAAATTGCAAAATCACTAAAAAATTAAATTGAACAATCGAGAATTTGCTTCTGCAATCAAAATTGGTTTTAACGCTTTCATATGTGTATCACAAAAGACAATAACTTTTTACACCAAAGATCAGGATGAATTTCAGTTCTAGATTCAAATTGAGACTTGAGAAACACAAGATAGATTGGAGGCAATGATCAGTGAGACAAAATCAGAAGGAAAGGCAGCTAAGAGCTAAAAGTAGAAATGAAGATTGGCTGGTGAGTGTTGAAGGTGATGGTGTAGTGTTGAAGGTGTTGATTGAGTCAAAGAAATAGCATCTGGTTTGCTTGCTATGACACCGAGGAGGGTCGAAGTCTTTCGAAATGAACTTTTGAGTCCAAACAGGAGTTTATTGCATGGTTAAACTCCCTTTTGGTGTTTATCCAAAGTACCCTTTTAAACTCCTTTGGGGATGGGGAAGGAGTTTATTTTGGGGTACCATAAATGGTCCCACACGTACTTTTTCAACAGCAATTATTTTGCAAAATAATTGACAAAAATAATCGCTACCAAATGTACCCTTAGCTATCAGGTACATATAGTTCTGCTCAGTTATCTGCTCATCTGAATAAGCAAATCACATGTAATACATTCTGTAAATTTGTTCAGATTGAGACAAGCATTTTGAAACATTGACTACATACATCACACAGCGGGAATGAATAAGTTTGAATCCTGATTGAGAGAAGTTGCAGTGTCTGAGTCCGCAACTTTTCTCAATTGCCAATCTTGTTCACAACTTGTTCACATTAGGTTCACAAGTTTCCCTCAATCTACCCTACCAACTGGTTTACTACGTGTTTTGGGTTATATACATACAAAAGTCTCTTTGCAATTACTCACCAACTTGTGTCTTGCTTGAGATCATCTTTCTGGTCTCTTGTTAAGTATACATTTATTTCAATACTTCCAATGTGCCCCAGGAAGCCTTGTTTGGTCACCATTGTGTACATAGGCAGCTAACCAACAACACGAGAGCATGCCGATTGTTTGTGACAAATCTTTAGAAATACAGACGGGGTGTTGTATTTATCAAAGGTTTCTACATAAAAGGGAGTTTGTCCATGATCCTCATGGCTGAGAACAAACAAAGGGGCTCAGTAAAGGATATCAAGGGAGTATTCAAGGGAAACCTGTGAACAAGTTGTGAACAAGTTGTGAACGAGATCCATGATTGAGAAAAGTTTGGGACTCGGACACCACAACTTCACTCAATTGGGTTTTGAACTTAATAATTCCCGCAGTGTCACAATGGCTACTTGGGAAATATTCATGAAGCTGTGTAACAGTAACAGAAGGGGAATCTGGTCCCTAGGACCCATATTCCCATCCGGGAACCTCTTTAATGCTGGCAGTGATATCCAGGAAGTTCTTGTCCAGGATTCTTTCCATGGTGCATCTGAAGGACTTCAGACCCGTGGTAGTATGGATACCAGCATTCTATCACTGAGGTGTCTACAGATGTTGCAATATGTGTCAATTTGAATGGCCGTGCCATAAAGTGTAAGGACTTAAAGTTCATCACTAGAAATCAAGAAAGGATACAGGCCATGAGGCCAAGCTCAACATGAAAGATAAGATTTCACAATACCAAAAGGGAAATTCTCAAAGTCAGGACCAACTTGAGGAATTTATAAGAACTAGAATTAGATCTATATATTGTGACTGGTATGCTACTGTGTGAAGCATATGTTATCAGGATGTGATTTGAGAATTCGCCATCCAGTGTGGGATGGTGAAGTTTTCTTATGAAAAGATAAAGCTATTCACATCTCTGAGACCACTACTTTGTTTTCAAAATGAGAGACCTGGAATATCTCTGAGGTCCAGGAGCCAGAATTCAAATGGTAGACATGAATTTTTGGAATATGGGTATATAGCATAAGCGTCCATTAACATATATCATTTACTTATATATACAGAACAAAAAAAACACTCGTGTTGAGGCGTAGAAGAGGAAAACAAAATATCAATGGAGGAGAGAAATGAGGAATTAGCCAGGGTGGAAAGAGTTACACTTTGGTCACTCTCTACTCTCGGATCATAAGTGTACGCGGAGTGGTGCCGCGTAGCAGCACGCACAAAGGTCCTTTTTGAATTGCCTCACTGAGACTAAGAGACAGAATGAGAAAAGCCGAAATTAAAAAGCGAGCACAAGAAAAGACCCCTGAGGGAAGGCCGAAGGCATCACACACGAACATACAAATATTGTGGGTGTAAAAAAAACTTAGCAGCACACAAACATACAAGGTCATGTCGAGCCTAAAAAATAATTGAAAATAAAGAACAAATGGAGATAGTTCTATGGAATCAACCAATCTGAACTCTATAATAAATAGATATGTATGATATCAACCGTGTAAAAACTGAAATCAAACCATTTTGTAATGTCTTCATTGACTGATAGTGGAGCACAGCCAGAGAGGAAAAAGCCAAAAGAATTATTAGAAATTTGGTGACACTTTATAAAAAGGAAATAACCCGTCGGTAGTGAGTCGCTATTATTGGCAAGATAGGATGTCGGAATTAGTATTATGTAGTTATATAGTGAGGTTAAAATCGTAACAAGTAGAGAATTAAAGAAAATAGGGAACTAAGAAAATAGAATTCAGGGAAACAATAAGAGATAAAGTAAACAAGTTCACTGAACACTCTTTTCTCCTTTGTTTTTCCAGGTATGGGTGGTTGGGAACAAATAAACCGAATAAACTGTGGAACGATCTATGTGCAATCGGATCAGGGATGTGAATATTCTGCAATGTTGAGAAGTGAGAATGGCGGTGATGAGCACTAGTTGCATGTGGTGAATTTTCCATCTTGCCGAATTCCAGTTCTTTGGGGGGACATCGAACAGACGAAAGGTTATTCGTCACATCCAGATTTTCTCGGGCATATTTGAAATCGCAGGCTCTTCAGTTTGTCGTTGCCTTATTTTCCAACTCTCTGATTCCACTCAGTTAATATGAACACCAACTACGAAAAAAACTACTTTCAACTCTAGACTGAGAGTTAAAGTCTTTGGCCGTAAATCCAGTACTTTACGCAACCCTGAGCTCCACTGAGCGACTTTGATCCGCGTTTTACCAAAATTCCATGAAATATTTGAATACTTACAAAACGTGTATAAATAACCTTCAACCAGGTCGAATATATCTCTAGCTTTCCCTCGCTGTTGTTGGTCTCCTCACTCAATCAAGTCTTCCTCATTGGCGTAATAGGCAGCTCTGCGGAGATAACACAAAAGTTACACACTTAATCGTCAGCCCTCATTTTTGCAAGTGGTAGATAACGAGCGGAAAACATACTGAAGCCATAAGAGCCCTGGCCTTGACCTTTCACGGATAATTTTCCACGGGGAAAGTTGCGCACTTCTTAGTTTGACACGCATCGCCTGTTGCTGTTCCTTGCTAGCGAATCGGTAGGACGATATCTTATCTGCAGATATCAAGCTATCAACTGAAGCTTTGGTACATCGTTGGACCAGATCCCTAGCCTTCTCAGTTGTTCCCTCGACTTCGATGACTAGTTTTCCAACCCAGTCTCTATGTATCAGACCAGAACCCATGTCGGGCGAGTCCCACTCTCTCAAACCTTCAACTACTGAGGTTCTTGTACCTGGCGTGACTCTTACCACAGATCTGTAGACCCATCGCTGAACTCGATAGCAAGAGTTTCGACGCATGACTTGAACTTGATTGGTAGGAACGCGAACTTTATCTTTACAAAGTTCCATAGTTCTTTGTATCTGATCTTTGAATTCGGTCAAATCTAGGAAAAAGACCGGGGTGGTGGTAGATGATGAGATCACATGGTGGTAATATGAAGGAGGAAACATAAACATGTTGAGCCATGGCTGGAGGCGATGAAAGACAATAAGGCGTCAGATATCCTGACAAAAACGGTAGATATAGTAAAGGATGAACTGACAGGAAGGTGCCCGAGATGATCCCAAGTGATATCTAGATCTTGCAAGCATCTTCCGTCGAACAAAACTCGACCTTCATTTACGCGGGCGCCTACGGCAGTGTTATGACACACATCACCCCTTCTCATCAACGGTCTAACTTCTGACCTGAACAATTATAAGATACGTCAAAAAACCTTTTCGTACTTTGACTGTTTCATGGTACAATGCACTCACTTCCATAGCTCCCGTTCACATTCCACTAGTTCTTCCCGGGACATCCACAAATCTGCGGTAGGGACCCAAACTTTGAATACCGCTGGTTTCCCGAGAGCGTATATAGGAAGGAGAGGTTTTCCTAAATGATAACTCGTACTTCGTGGTGCCTGACTTTCCTCCTCCAAGAGAGCTGACTGAGATCTGATTCTAACTAGCAATTTGTTATACGATCTGGTAGATGCCCGGATCATTCTGAACGTTGGCAGATCCAAACCGCTCGATCTTAATCTATCCGCCAACTCTGCAAGTTCTTCTGGGCCAAATTCAAGTCCTGTATAGTAGGCATGCAAGTCTTTCAGACTGATCTGAAGCTCTTTTAGTCTACTAGACAGGGAGATAACAGAAGCAGACCTCAATCGTCTCAATGGGTTGGAAGAGTTACTAGGCGTGGACCCAAGAGTTTGGCGGTAGTTAGTGCGCACACCGGAGGGTCCCTTCGTCTGATATCCTTGGGTAGAATACATGTATTCTTCGGAAGGCTCTTTGCGATATCCAACAGCTCCTAGGTATCTCTCTAATATCACCTCACGGGGCTCTCCAGAATTCAAACCGTATCGTAACTTGCGAGAGATCTGAGGTAGCGTGTAAAAGTCCAAGTAGTCCATGCGAGAAATCAATGTTTGAAGTATCCTAGGATGTCGCAAAAGTGCGTGTTCAAACCTCGGCTTCGGGACTTTCACAGTGTCCTTTTCGGCAGCCGCCTCGCTTGGCACCTTTTCTGTCACACTGGGACTCCCTATGTCAGATGCTTGATCTTTAGGGCGCATTCCCGGCTCTGTTGCACGTCGCGATATTTTAGGCTTACGTCGCTGGCCAGTCATTGCTTCCAGCATTTGTTTTTGTTCGTGAGTCGCGTCAATTTTCGCAGAATCAGCTGATGTGCCGCTCTCGTCTAAATTCGATTGACTTATATCTTGCGGAACCTTATCACTTATTTTTATAGAGGAGTCGTCATGTGGAGTAGTTTCCGATTCGAAGTGGTCGTCCATATTTGCCTGATCAGGACTCGCGTGGAACAGCACGTCCTCTTCTGCAATTCCTACAGTGTTGTTGCTGCCGCTTTCAGGAAATCCTTCAACTACGCACGAAGAAGAATTTTGTGCTTCCTCAACCTCTACCAATGTCGCATTCTTTTCCTTCAGGGAATTCGAAAGTCTTATCCTCATAGCGGGAGTCACACAACTAAGATCAGATGTCCTTTGAAGGCTCTTGCCAGTTTGAATAGTCAACTTAGATCTCTGTGGGTTATATTCCCGCACATCTTGTCCACCGAAATGAACGTCATCATCTTTCTTTTCGTCTGAAGTTGTCATAATGACATGATCGGTGTAGTGACCAAGATCCATGTAGAAGTTAGAAAACTGGCGTTCGGAGGCTTTCCCTCTCGGGTCGGTCATTTCGAATGTCTTCATGTGTTCACGCAGGTTTGCCTCCATACACGACTCGGAAGTGCTTTCCAAAACCGGATATAGAGTAGTTGGCGATTGCATAGATGCAGGTGAGTCGATTACTCCCTCATAAATAGGATCCAGGTTTGAGAGGTCAGTCCTTGACCGGTGACGTTTCGAAAGTTTTAGAGGTGATGTGGCAGTTTTTTCAATCTCATCTGCCTTAGTTTTGAGGTCGGGACCGATACTTTTGATCACATCCACTCCTCGATCCCGCTCGTTCTTCAGAGATTCATCCGGTCCGTCTTCTTGTGGGGGTTCTGGAAAAATTTGCCCGATCTCGGCAAGGATTTGATCAATTTCACTCGTGAGCTTATCTTCTTTTTTGCTCTTCGTCTCTTTTGAATCGGATCCCGTTGAATTTACATTAGAATCCTTGGTCAGAGATTCGAGTGGAACACCCCTGTGTTCAAGCTCTCCCGCCTCTGAGCGATCCTTTGACTCTATGTCATCTATGCTGGGATCTTCTGTGGTCAATTCCGTGCTTGAAATGTTTGACATCGCAAATTCACCAAATGATTTTGACGTAATTTCTGCGTAATGAGATGACGGGGGTGTCGTAGGACTCCCTGATGTCTGTTTGGAAAATAATGACGAGCATTGCGTCGATACAGAGGATACCGTTGAATACTTTCGCAATGGATCTTCGTTTTCCGAAAGTACGGAGGAAGAGGTTTTGACTGAGATCGGCATAATAGATGCCCTTCTCAGAGGCGCATCTGACATAGACTTCAATTCTTCTTTGGCAAGGCATTCCAGAGCTTTCTGTTCAGAAACGATCTGACGAGATATCTCTTGGCCATTCTTGAGTGCAATGAATTCTTCACATTGTTGACCAATACTCTCAGGTTGATCACCTAGTAAGTGCCGAAACACCAGCTTAGCAGGCAGTCTAAAGGTTTCAAGGAAATTGAGCACATCACTCACGTCCCGAATTGTTTGCTTCGCTATCAGAAAGATGCGAGACTTCCTGCGCAGGACTCGTGCTCTTCTGGGGTAACCCCGCGTCTTCAAGTTGAGTGACCACGTTTGGAATTTTCGCGCTGGAAAAGGACGAATCATATTGGGTATTGGTCGGTGAGATGCAATCCAGTTGAGTGCTTGTCTTGGGAACTTGAGGAGGCATTGACGCAAATAGACTGCGAAACTCGGGTGATTCGGTTTTGGAAGTGTTTTCTTCTTCAATTTTACTCCCCTTCAAGGCATTTTCGAACGAGTATGGCAGCCTTTGTAACGGTGAGCAGGTGGCTGGAGTATTTGCTGCGCTTGATGAGGTGGTACCAAGGAATGCCGCAAGAGGCGAATAACTCGAGATGGATGCCCTTGTCTTTAGAAGATCCAATTTGGAGAGCTGTTCGCGAGGTGTTGAGTGGGAAGCCTGAGATGGCGCAGCCATAGAAGCGCGCTGAGACCTATGCAGTTCTCGGGAGGCTTTCTCCTTTGAGGCGTCTGATTTCGACCTGCTTCTAGTAGATTTGGCTCGAACCTTTTCATTCCGGTTCATGCCTTCATCAGAGTTGACTAGATGCTTTTGCTCGCTACTTTTTGATGAGTGTCTCTTCTTCTCGCCGCTACGGCGAGACGATGAACCAGAGGGTTTCTCTTCTTTTGAGTCGAGGCTTTTCCCGTCCTTATCAGTGATGGTTGGTATTCCTTGTGTACAACTACTTGCGCGACGATGTGAATGAGATGAACTCTTTCTTACTCTGCTCTTGAGACCCGAGCTAGATTGTTCCGGTTCGCCCGAGATGTCATTAGCCTCCAGTCTCGGATGTGAGGATTTATGCCTTTCTCTCTTCTCTTTTGCTCTGACCTCCTCATTAGTTCGGCTCTTATGTTTCGATCGCTTCTCAGGAGATTTCTCAGCCGCTTTTCCCGAAATGACTGGTCCGCCATCTGTGCACTGATGCCCATCGATTGCTTGAGTGCTCTTAGAAAGCGAGATAGATGGAATTGTATGTGTCCCGCTTCTAGTTGTCGTAGAGGGTGTAGTGGTTCCATGAGAGGCCACGAGGAAAATTCCCCCCGAAGCGTCGGGTTTCTGTGGACTCTCGATGAGTGATGCCGCTACATGATCGAGTTCTTGGTCGGGTTTCCTTCTCAAAGATTGTCCAGCAGGGATGGGATCTTGTTCTGCTTTTCGTACAATTTCTGAAGACTTTATCTCCATCAACATTGACTGTTTCGGGGATGATGTTAGGCATATAGATGGAACAACACGGTCTTCCGTGGCGCGAAAGTCGAGGGCAGAGGTAGAGGTAGAGGTGGCACCTGATGAGTGGCTACATCAGTTTAAGCCTAAGCACGAACTTGCCCTGATATGAAAACTTACCTCTACTTCCAGAGATGGAGTGATCAATTCGCACACTGTGAACCATTCGCCGGGTCAAGTTCGAAGGGTCCGCGTGATTGTCGCTATGCTCTTCTCTTGTTGGAGGAGAAGGTAATCGCTTGCTGAGATATGGTACAGGAGACTTCTGTGGAAGCGAAGATGCCAGACTTTCCAAGGCATGCGAGCGGGGAGTAAGACGTTTCATGGAATATTGAGTGGAGGCTGAGCTCGAACCATCTCTTAGCTCATGATCATCCTTTCCGGCTTCCGTTAGTGGCTGTTTCTGCTTAGATGCCGACTCTGGAAGGATCCGAGGATAAGAAATGAGAGTCAGTCAACTGCATGTCATCTCAACTTCGCATATGACTTCGCAAGTCTTCAGAAAAGCCAGAGATGATCTGAGAGAACGAGCTGCGAACGAGATCGCCCACCTTCATGTGTTGATAAGGGCGAACTGTGAAGAAGGTCATCTTGTCCAGATGATGCAGGTGCTGTACGGTTTCTGAAATGTAAACAGATATGTTTTTCAGTTGATCGCGTAGCCCGTAAGGAAGTCAGTCAAAAGATATGGACTCACCTTGTAAATGTGTTTAGCCAAAGACGAGGCATGACTGCGGCTTCAAGTGTTGAAGATGATAATATATTATGAGGATACTTGATGTTTATTTAGAAAAACGAATACCGGATTGTACGATACTTGCTTGTTCGACCAGCGAAAAAATCAGACAAGAACAGAAATCATACCATGCACTAGTGCTTGACGATAAGCTAATGTGAGAAAATATGTCAGACAGTGTCCTTGCAGGTTGCGTGCCGAGAACGGGGAGGACAATCTAGGGCGTTTCAAGGCGGAAATTGAGTCAGTGTGGTTCGTAGGTTATATCACACGTATCATGGCAAAAAATTGATGCAACGCTATTTTACCATCGTTGATAACTGGAGAGGCCGATACATATCCCTTTTAGTGACGATCGATTCCGATTGCCTAACTACTCCGCGGATTGGTCTTCAAGTGATATGATCCAGTGACTACCTCATGAACAGCAGGAGCAAACGTGCGGATAATAGCTTGCCTCGCCAAGTGGAATCTATGGAGACCAAGGTGGATAGCTTCCCGTCAACGATGGCGACGAGATCACAAATCACATCATAACATGCAAACTGCATGGAATCTAAACTTAACAAAGTCCCACGCTCGCGCCTCGTGAGGCCAAGTGGAATCGTAGTCGGTGTCCCTATGAACTAAGTGGAATCAGGCTGAATCAGGAGATAGGAAGTAGGGAAACGATGAACTGAAGATCCCCAGATATCTGGATGTGCAAGGATGAGACGGACTCTTCGTGAGGGAGAGTCCCCCAATGGATCGATTTCAGAGCGAGAACGATTTTTCTCGAGTTATGCTAGGTACAGATCCCCGACGAAAGAAGGTCCAGTTTGGTTCCTTATCGAATCTTTGTTGCTTTTCCACTTCTCGCTTTCGTCATACGAAGATTTCTCGACTCCTCTCGAAGTCTCATCTCACTTGGAGCAGTACAGTCAATCTCACATTCGATCCCAGTTCTGGTCGTTTATTTTTTCTTCTTTTTTCCTTCTTGATCCAGACTTTAATGATCACAGCAAGTCATAATTCAGTCGCGGGTCTACAAAGATGTCGCAGCTAGTTCACAAGCTCTTTTACCCTAAGACGCAGGAGGTGGCAACACACATAACATGGCATCCCTCCGCGGCTCATCTGCTCAAGCTATCCCATTCAATCATCAGAACTTTCACCGTCACTTCTCCATTTTTGTGACAAAAGTGGGGGCAAGTTTAACGAACATCCGAAGGTTTATATGCCCTATTGGAGGTCAACTACCAGACCTATCACTCTATCCAAGAAATTGTTCCCTACATATTCACTATTCAATTATTACAAAACTTCAGAGACACAAATCAGTGATGTTAGAGAAGAAAGGCACAATGATGACCAGTAGCAACATATGCTGGATTAGTATAGAGAAGATGGAGGAGAAGAAAGAGGGGAAGATGTTGAACAGAGGGGAGAAGAACATGCAACAGTTGAATAAGGTGGTGATGAGGGAGAAAGAGAATCCTGTATATCAGAGATGGGAGTTCTTTCAAAGACAGTGCAAAACCTGACAGACCTGCAACCCTTTCCACTACTCCACATGTTTTCACCTTGGTTAAAGACCTAAGGGCCCATTTGGTAACTTTTGTGATATATTGTTACAAAAGAACGGTATTTCAATCTGCCCCTGTTTCAAGGGGGAGATTGAAATGTGTGAATTTTGGTTATATGAAAAGCGACAAATCTCCTTTGTCGAGATACCTGAATTCCCGTGACAGTTTCTAGAAGTGAGTCTCAATCACTTCTCGTCACAATACCTGAAACACTAACCTGAATTCCCGTGACAGTTTCTAGAAGTGAGTCTCAATCACTTCTCGTCACAATACCTGAAACACTAACCTATAAGGTTTGTTCAGGTCACAATATAAAATAAGGAAAAGGGTCGACGCGATGAGTTCAGTAAGATTCTTTTCCTTTCCGTAAGAAGACGGATCAATTTCACCTGAATTCCCGTGACAGTTTCTAGAAGTGAGTCTCAATCACTTCTCGTCACAATACCTGAAACACTAACCTATATAGAACAAAAGATAGAAATAGACAAGTACAAAAAGGACACTACTTGTTAGATGAAGAGAATAGAAAGAATAGACCAGTTGACTATGTATCTGACCTATAAGGTTTGTTCAGGTCACAATATAAAATAAGGAAAAGGGTCGACGCGATGAGTTCAGTAAGATCTAGCGTCGACAATGATTCAGATGAAAAAGAAAAAGATAACATCACAGTATGATAATTAGTAACAGTCATATTGAAGATCAAACTAATGGAGAGTAGAGACTATTGATGATAATGTAGTGAAGGGGTTGAACTTACTCTTTTCCTTTCCGTAAGAAGACGGATAAAGGAAAAGAGTATTAGCGCGAAAAGGGGGAGGCGCAATTTAAATAGGGATCATTTAAGTTTGAGTCTGACATCTTAAGTTTGAATAAAACTACTGTATTTTAGTATGTAAAGTGATTTGATACTTAGAGTCTTATTCACCTTTCACCACGGCTGAAACCTAGGTACGAGAGACTGAGGTGTCTCTCAACATTATACACTTACCAAAAAGGTCATTAAAAGATCACAACAATTGTTGTTGACCTTTTGATCACCAGTTGGGTGTTTGGTCACAACTGTAAGAAAAGAGTATGTCAGAACTCATTTAAGTCTTCTCATCATACACTCTACTTAGCAAAAAATTTGTAGATGTACAAGATAGCAGTAAATATTTGTGAGAAAGAAATATACAAACAAATCAATGGTGAATGATTGAGAGTGTTCAACTTCTTGATCAATTGACATGGATGAGAGATAATCTATGTAACTCAGAGGATCAAAAGTATTGAAATAAATTCCATCTGAAGATCAAGCTCAACCAAATCTTTTGACCAAACTTGACATCCCTATGAAGATTAAAATACAACTTGGATGAACACAGTGCTGAAAAACAACCCCACAGATAGTGTTGGCTAATGATCTCTGAAAAACTTTGGATGTACAAATGCCAAACCAATACCAGAATCTCTCCACTCTAAAATGAGGGAGTGGAGTGCTTTTATAACAGTTTTTTGCTGCTCTGCACACCATAATATAGAGCAGAGCCTCTAGTCTGCTCATCCAGGCCGGAAATTTCCCAGGCAGAGCAATTGTTGCACAATCTGGCCCAGGTTTGCACTCATCACTATATAGTCAGCAAGAACCCTGTACTCAGGCCCCAGGGGCTAGGGTACAGGCTGGTACAGTAAAGTCTCCACCTCATCCAATTCTGGATTCAATACATACCACATCTTGATCTATCTTCTTTTGATTCAATATCAACCAGTGCCACATTGACTGTTTTGGAAATGATGGACCCCTGGCAAGGTTTTTCAATCCAGCTGGCCTGTGGTTCCCATTTTGTCATTTCTTAGTTCAAGAGTGTCTTATGGTCAGTTCAGAATCATTTCAGCAAAAACAAGTCAAAAACAAAACTCACCTTGCTGACCACCTTTGTTCTTTGTCTTACATTTCATTTCCAATTATCAACCCCAATGGTTCCCTCCTGAAGTAGTTCAACCCAAAGTTCACTCAAGTTTCCCAGTCAACCCTCCACCAGACAAATCCCTCTACCTAGCCCACGTCCAACTAATTCAGGTTTTATTGTACCTCCAAAAGACTTGCATACAACTCTTGCATACAACTCTTGTGTCTTGTGAGAATGAGGATGGATCATCAGCCAAATCCACTGGTGGCCAAATCACCAGGCCCTATTGCTAGTTGTTCAGCATCACCTGAGACCCTGGTTCCAATGAACAAGGAGAAAAGGACAACAGGCCCAGCATCTCAATCAAAGTCCAAGCCAACCACACAAGAAAGGTGAGTTGTTTCAAATTCATCTGTAATGACAATAATGATCAAATCACAAACTCATCAATTTATATTGTTTGATTTCACAGGAAACAAGAGGCAATTTTCCTGTGGGAAAACCCATTATATTCAACACAGTTGATGAGCCAAAATGTAACATTTGGGCATTAATTCTGCATTATTTCTGTGTTTTGGCTTAGAAACTGCAGTAAATGTAATCAGTCTTCCCACATGAAATTCATCTCTTGTTTCCTGTGTTTACTTGTCTAGTCTTGTTCTTCAATTAGCAAACAAGCTGGATCACCTTCTGGAAGTGTAGCTGTAGCCTCATCAAGTGGCACCCCCCAATAATCAAAGAGGGTTAGATTGGACAAGTCCAATGTAGGTCTTAGGTCTCAACTGACATGAAATGTCCTTTCAAAGTTGATATAACAATCTCTCAATAAATGTAGGTCTTTGACATTCCAAAAAGTGTGGACCTTGATCAAGACTCTGATGTCAAAATTGTTGGGGACAATGGTGAACCTGGATATAAAACAGTCTGATTGAGCTGTGTTGAGGACCTGCTTGAGCACTTTCACCCACCTAAAGTTTGTAACTTGCTTACTGTCTCATATCTTGGGTAATATCTCTTTATGTCTATCACATCACTGACTGCACTACCTTTTCTGAGGGATTGACAATACCAGTGTTGATGGTTCACCAATTTGTACAAGTAGAAACCAAAAAGATACAACACCCTTGGGGCCAAAAGATCACTACAGCATATGTACTGTGAGCCAGTCTGGCCCTATGGGTGACATATACTTTCTGTGTCTACTTGTACACTGGTGGTGACAGATTGTATTGGGGCCTATGGAGCCATTGGGATGGTGGAAATGGTTGACCTCAATGTGTGAATTTTCACAAATCAATAGCTGCTGGTGTGATTCTTCCACTTTCATATGCTGAAAAGGAGCAGGCTTATAAGAAGAAGTCTGCAAAGTCTGGAAAATGGGACTCATATTTATCTGGACCAGCATCTTCAGCCAACCTGTTGAACAACATCTTGGTCATGTGGGTGGTTTGGCTTGCTTTACCTTGGTATTGATTTGAAGATTCACTCATACTTACAAATTTTCCCTGTGTCAATTGAGGTGCTTTTGTCAGGTAA